CGTAGCCGAGCAGAAGAAATTCAAGAAAACTTAAAGTTGCCTTTTGTTAAACATAACATTTCAAAGTTTGTCTAAATTTCACTTCCAAACTGTTTGCCTTAACCTCTGAAATGTTTTTAGTTTACAACTTTCAATAAAACTTTAGTTATACGAAAGTGTTTTATTTAATTAAACTCTATTAAAATTTTACTCTTATTTAAAAAAATAGTTGATATTTATTCTATTTATTAATTTTATTTCTTAATATTAATTTTAACAGGCTTTATTATACATTTCCAATTTTAAATTTGGCGCCGTTATAACAGTTTTTTTTTGCACAGTTGGCAATTGGATGAGCGGCCATGATGCTGCGCGTCAACTGCGCGGTAAGTTTCCATCCTTTTACGTCAAGATATCAACGTGAACAACGTTGGTTTCTTTTCTGCACTAAAATTGGTAATATCCAAGGTAATTTATTTAAATAATGTTTGTAAATAATGTTTAGAACGTTGAACTTTTAATACATTTAAGTACCTTTAGTTGATGTTATGATTTTAAAGCATTATTTACTTTCTATCATATCACTTTGAGCGTGCATTATGTACTCGAGTATTGTACAGCTTTCAGTGCACATTTTTAAATGTTTGCACCATTTCAGTTAAAAATGGAGCCTATGGACACTTCAAGTTCAACTGAGATCACCACGTCAAGTGTAGTAGCGACTACTGCAGCAACTTCAATGACCGTGATGGTTCGAGTACCGTTGCCGACTGGTGCAAATTTGCACCGTACGGATTCTTTGACCACCATCAATACTGCAAGCGCATGTTTTGGCGATGATCAAAGCTTGCCTTCCACTTCTGGCGAACCGAGAAATTTGATCAGGCAATTGTACCTTTCCGAGAACCAGCCCACTTCTTCCGAAGAGAATCTACCGGATAGGCAGAAACGCGCCAGGTCGCAGACAGCTTCTGCAAGCAGCTCTTCCGAGGTCATCAGGAAGAAGGGCAAGACAGAGTAGGACTTACATAATATAAGCACGGTCATAAGCGTTAAGTTTAATTGCAAAATTATTGTAAATCATTCGTTCATTCTATTTCAAAAAAATGTACTGTTGATAATGACGTGCTTATTAAATGGTTTTGAGCTTTTCCTACGAGTACCTAATAAAGGCTTCATCTCAAGAGCGCATTTTTATTTATATCCCAATTGTTGATACAATTCAATAAAATTATGCAAATGTAGTTTATTTTTACATTTTATTATACGTTAGTTTATTTTTATCGAATTTAGGATTTGGGGATTTTTTTCGTAACAGTTGGCAATATGAAAAGCGGCCATGATGTTTAGACAACTGCGCTGTAAGCTACTTGTTTAGAACGACATCGAGTTATTTTCTTAAGTTTGTGTTGTGAGTAATATTATCTAAAAGGTAAATATTAAAATATTATAGTTAAAAAATGTTTAAACTAAACAATTAAACAGTGCTTGTAAGTATTAACATTTTAAAGCGTTATCATATTTGGGGTTATGTAATAGAAAAGTAGTAATATTAAATTTTCGATAAGTGTCAACTTTTAAAACAATATTTGCCCAAAGTAAAAGGTATTTTAACACGTTTGGATGGATTTTTGCGATTTAAGGACTTTGCGTGGTTTAAATAGGGATATTTTGTAACGGTTGGCAACAAAATATGGTTGGTAACATTAAAAGCGGCCATGATGCGCTGTAAACGACTTGTTTAAAGTTGGGTCGCGTCATTTTTCGTCACGTAAACGTTTTGTGCATTACATTTGTAATATCTAAGGTAAATTATTAATATAATATATTTGAAGGTTCAATTTAATATGTTTAGGAGGTTGTGTTATTTAAAAATGGCAATATTAATTGTTTAAACGTTTAAAATCATACCTATATACTTAAAAATAACACTTTATTATCTATTTTTGCCATAGGCGTTGTTTCAACATGGATTTTTCAACAGTTGGCACTTTATTTTATTAAAAGTGATAATATTCAATGCAATAATCTTTTTTTTAGCGATTTATAAGTGTGTCTTATATCGATTTTTTTATCTTAGGTATGGAGCAAAAAAAGATGGACCCCACTGAGGTAACCACTTCCGGTGCAGCAGTCACTACTGCGCCGACTCCAGTATCGTTGATGGTGCAGGTTCCGTTGCCGACTGGAGCGAATTTGCATCGTACCGACTCTTTGACAACCATCGATACCGTCAGCATGGCAAGTTTCGGCGATAATCAAGAGCCGCTTTCGTCAACTGGCGAACCGAGTTTGGTCAGGCAACTGTACCGTTCCGATTACCAGTCTGCTTCATCGGAGGAAAATCTGCCCAGCACGCCAAAGCGTACCAGGGCGCAGACTGCTTCATCTAGCAGCTCTTCCGAGGTCATCAAGAAGAAGAAAGACAAGAAGGAGTAGGACTTCAAGAAACGCACGGTTATTTTTTTAAAGAATTCCGCCAAATACTAACTACAACATCATTAAATGCTGTGGTCATGGTGTTTTGCAGAATTCAATCAGTTGTAGTTATATAACCGGCGTATTACATTTTGTTATTTGTCCCATGTAAGTACAAAATAATAAAGGCTTCACCTGAAAAGCGCATTTTTATTTAGTAATTATATAATCGATGGTAATACTTCTCCAATATGTGGATAATGAATTAATTTGCAAAAATAATTAAATAAAATCTGACATCTGTCAAATGTTTAACCTCACTTTTTACCAATTTTAAATATTATAGTCGCCTTCTCCAAATTTAAAACTCCATTGGTTCAAATCACATTGAATATTAAAACCGGCCAATCGCTGATGCCTAACAAAGTGAATAATGAATCCATTATTCCCGTTGTCTAAAGCGCCATAAAGCCACAGCTTCCCAATGTGTATTAAAAAGGTTACTGTGCCATGAAAACATGCACGTTTTAAAGGTGGGAGTAAAAAAATACATTTATTTATATTTAGAAATGATATACCAAAGTATATGTAGGTTTGATCCTTTTGCGTTAAGGGATAAATATTTGCTTTGAGTTAAAATTCTTGAAACTATTTTATGCGCAAAAACTGGTCAATATTATTTTTATAGCCAACTTTTATATCAAAGGGCTGTAAGAACATATCTGAAAAGAAGCATGGGCTCTTTTATGTCATAATTTTAAAATGACACTTGAACAAAGTTCAATTTTTTAGTATTTCTCGATAAAATTTTACGATACATTCATTTTAAAGGAATACAATTTTTATATTCAGTATTATTTATTGCAATTTACTGGAGAAATTAGCAGCGAAAAACTTTTATGAGAGTTAAATGTAAAATCTTATTGATAAAGTTACAACCATTGAAATGAAATGTTTTGAACTTTCATTGCCTTAGTATTTTTAATTACGACGTGATTATCTCCAGTTGAATACTGAACAAAGAACCAAACTGGAGTAATAGGAAGTTCAAGGAAGCAGGGTCATGCACAAGAACCCTGACTGCTTCAGTAAGCCTTCCATTGACATAAAGAAAGAAACTGTTGTTAAGCTTATGTGACCTTGAAATTGAAAATGCACAAATTCGTCACACCTGGACACTACCAAGTATAGATAGACCTGTAGCTACTTAACGTATTCAGTATTTACCTGAAGACGGCTTCAAAATGTATTTGTAGTTCGTTAAATAGCATTAATAATTATACCTAAATAACATAGTAGTCATTTTATGATTTATATATAATGTTGGCGAGTCAAGTTACACGACGCTTATGCATCCATTTATCTGCCCCAAAGGAAACTTTAACTATTATTAAACAGAACTACCAAGTTTAACTCTTTATGATTTATATAACATCTTAGTTAAATACCGTCCCTTTGCTTGCATTCTAGTAACTAAACTAAATTTAATTTTCTTCTTCTCAGAAGCTCTTTTAAAACATAAATACTACTAGTAGAATTATTAATGAAAAACCAACTTATAATATTTATTTTCAATTACAAACTTTTTCGATATTTTTCTTGTATAATGAGACAAATAAAAGTTTAAAGTGTTTGTTAGTAGGGTAATAAATTTACTTTTTAGTATCTTAAACAGTAATATTTTGATTTATACGTCCACTTGACACTATTTTCTAAGTTATAAGTTGTTACGAGCATTTCTGTAAAATACGGTGGCGCAGGCATTATTACAAATCTTATATGATATAGTAGGACCAACTGCTGTAACATATTATTTAAAAAATACGCCATAGAAAATTATTAATTTATATATTGTTGTAAAGCAATTTTAATACAAAAAATGTAATATTGAAATTTAATTAAATTTGAAATTTAACCCGTTACCTTAATTTCATTACTTAATAGAATAAAATAGATCTGTTCTTTAAATAGGTTAATTAATGAAATTGAATTTATTTTTACTCTCCCTAAGAGATACTAAAAAGGAATCTTAAAGTAATGGTGTAAGCTGGAGAGCGAAAATCTTATTTAGAGATACATAAATTCTATTTAAGAAACACCAATTTCTTTTTTTAGTTTTCCTGTTTTTTTCACGTAAAAATTGAATTCGTAATAAATCTTTTTGACAATTCTATTGAGTGGGCTCGGCCATGGAAGGATCTTATCCTTTTTATTTTTATCCTTTATGTCATTGTCCTGCGACCACCCAGATGGCAAAGTGGTCAATAATTTATTGCTAGTTTAAATTTAAAATTTACCACAACACTTGCCAATTTTATATAATGCTTTTTGTAAATTTTGCGCCTTTCCTGTGTATAGGGGTTTAAACTTTTATAAAGAGGTTTTTCAAAGTAATTTTGATTTAAAAAAATGTATCGAAATAATAAAAGTTTAAAAGATACAATGGACGATTAGTTCCTTCAGTGTGTAAGTTAAAAATTAACCAGTATATACCTAATTAAAATTTCATTAAATTCACTAGTGGTAAGATAAAACTGTGCCAAAAAATTTAACTTTTACAGTTTTAAAAAGAGCGATAAAAACGGTAATAAAGTCAAACTTACCAGCTTTAACCAAATATTAGTGATGAGTAGCTGATTTTTTTCATCCTACAAGAAAGAATGCAAAAGTTTAACGATTGTTTTCCCAATCTATTGGAAAAGCTTCAACTTAATACTAATAAGTTGAAAAGTTTGTCTGAACTTACCACGTCAATAATTTGCATTAAGGTGAGTCCAAAACTTAGTTGTAAAGGGTCAGACTCATTTGCCACCGGTCTCTCTAACACGTTGTAATGATCCAAAAGTTTGTGTAGCAGTTTTTTTTCGTTAAATCCTGCCGAGGTTCCTGCAAAAAATAAACGAATACACTTGTTGAAAAGTTGAAAAAAAATTTATAGGTATTGTATTTGTCTTGAAACCGTACAAATAATAGTATATTATGTATCAAGTTTATTAAACGCCATTTTAGTCACGATTAATTAAATGAGTGCCTAGAAAAGTTTATAAAGCATAGTTGCATACTATACTTTTTCTACGACAAATACTTAATATTATCTAAAAAATAATTTAAAATAAATATTTGTATAAAGCGACATCTATAGAAAAATAAAGTGACCATTGCAATAAAAATTTTTGACGTAATTTTCAGCATTAACATTGCCCGTTATTATTTTAATTAAACTTAACAATTATTAATACTTCAAATTATTAAAATAATTTTAAAATATGATTATGTTAATATTTTATCCATTAATTTTTTGTATTACTATAATTCAAAATTATTATCACAAATTATTAAAAATTCTTACACGGGAAATGTTAAAGGTACAAAAAGTGACAGGAATCTACCGGCGTTAAAATTTCAAATTTTTCTGTCTAAATTAAAATTTATCCCTTGAAAATAGACTAACAATCGATATAGAAGCAGTTTGACGAACTGTCAACTAACTTAAAACTAACTTCAGCCCCTGACTAACAACCTGTTGCTAACTTCATCCCGTGACTAAAGCGCCATAAGGCCATATTTAAAAGGTCACTTAGTGTCATGGAAACATAAAGGTGGGAGTAGTGAAAAATATACAGTATGAATTAATTAAAAAGAGTAGGGAAGACACAAAAAAATTGCTGGGTTCGAAGTGGAAGTTTTGTAAAATATGCAAGATGAAATTGAGGAGGAGGACAATTTCCTTTATTCGTTTACTTTGCATCTTGCGCTGACAGAGTGATTTTTCTTGTAGCTTAGGGTCAATAAATTTGTTCAGTTTTAAGGTCGTTAGGGCACGAGGGATATCTACATTTAACAATCTTAATGTGTATGTGGAAGTGGCTGTAAGTGGAAAATTCATCCAAAACTTTTAGCTCGGGAAGAATAAAATATTAATGCACTGATTTTATTCTTTGTTTGTTTTGCGGGTTGTAAGTTCTAATGTTGGTATCGGATAGTTTATATTGCGTTAGTTGGGTTTTGTCTCTATTTTATTAGCGTCGATAAAGTGCTTTTAACTCGGTTTTATTAAGAAACTTTTTACCTTGTTAACTAGACTAATAAAAGCACTAAATTACCCACCTAAGAAAAGATAAAGAAAAGGGCGGTAGTGTTTTAACAATATAATCAATGATAGTGAGTGGTACTTGAATGATTAAATCGCCTTTAAGAGCCTTATAAAAAAAATAAAAAAATCGCTGCTCAGTGTGGCCACAAAAGGTGGAAATCGGCCTGGAGCTGGAATTGTTTCAGTTAATCACACAAGGGAAATTGCGGTGACTGAGTAACAATAAATACCAAAATCAATAAAACACAAGGGTTAGCACTTAAATCTAAGGTTATTTGCAATGTTTAGATCACTGTGTTTCTCAATAGAATATAGATTAGCATCCCAACGGGTTTGATCTCGTTTCATTGTCACTTGAGTGTTTTATTTTATATTATCACCTTATCTATAATGCAGTATACGACGGTGTTGGGTAGCTGCCTATGTGTATACAGGGTGGAAAACTGAAATATATTCTGTATTTTAAAAACAACTTATTTAAAGAAAAAAACACAAAAACACATCAACATTAATTTAAAACCCAACCCAACCCCACCCCAAATTTATTGAATTGATAAAAACACAACTATACTTTACTATAAAAGATGTTCAAAATAATCTCCTCAACTTGTTTCTGAAATTTTTTAAAAATCGATTTGTTTTCAAGATAAAGAATTTATTACAGTTAAGGTTTTTTTCTCCCTGTATGTACAATGTACATTTTACATACCATCGATCCTTATGCTGATGCTTGAATTTTTTTGCGTTCACCTGCATCAAATTTGTTATGCAATTAACTTGGCGCTGACTCATTAAATGTTATTTATTGCATAACAAATTTAATTTTCCATTAAAAAAATGAAAAAAATGACGTCCATCAGACATATAATTATTAAAGAGATACAATATATGTACAATACATTTTTCTCCAACCCTCCTTAGATACCTTTCTGATGCTGTATCTGACAGATAGGTTCGGGTCGTAGGTAAAAGGAAGAAATTCCGATTAAATGGAATGTTCCCAGGGATATGGAGAATGTATTATCCTGAATTATGGAGAACCAATAACAGGGAACAATAGAGTGAATTAATCATGTAAACCACAACCTCACTTATTTTCCTGTCCCATACATTTGTTTATAGCATTTGCACCAAAAATGCACTACAAAAATTACGACGATTTAAATGAGGTACAATTGCCTTTTGCTTTTTCTTAAACTTTGTATTAATCAAATATTGAAATCCTGTCTAACCATGTAAAATTCCATTATGGCTGCCATAGGAAAAACAAAAGATGGTGGTGGAAACCAGAGCTGGGAAAGTTACTTCTGAAAAGTATCTAGTTACTTTTCTAAGATACTTTAAACAAAATAACTTAGTTACCTCTGGTAACTAGATACTAGATACTAGATACGTTAACAACTTTTTTATTTTAAATGTAACACCCTGTATCTTTTTACATAATCAAATAGGAAATTTAAAAACATTTAATTAAATTAATCCCTATACATAAATTTGATAATTTCAGAGATATTTAACAATTTTAAAATTATTTAAATATTATTTTGTATTAAGAATCGTAATCTGTCATTCTTGAAAATTTAGTGGCGTCAATTTTTCAAATTTTTTTTAATAAAAACAATTTTTTCGTTCGAAAATAAAACAATATTCCCCAGGTTCTGAAATATTATTACACCAATACCGCAAGGACTTGCACCTGTCAACATAATAAATTAAAAAAAAATCCGACAACCCAAAACAACAAAATTACAGTTTCATTTATATTAAGAAAGCCTTGTTCCTAGAAATACTTTTACGTTCCGTTTTAAGTTACATAATATGACAGCGTATATAAATATTAATTATTTTTATTTTTCAGTTTCGCAAAAAATACTGTAAGGTTTGGCTTAAATGTATTTTTGTCATACAGGGTGTTTCTCCTCAAAATTGACCACACTAACTAACACTTGATTTAAATGTTATTTATAGCCGGATTTTTTAAAATGAATGTTTAGTTTTTTCCTGCACACTAAATTTTTTCACCAGGTTACTGACGTATTAATGGCCTACATTTTTGCCTGGATGCCTCTCATTAAAAACGCCTACGGTTCTACGAGCACAGCAATCAAATCCGCAAATAAAAATTAATTCGGTTCTTTCTGCTAAAGTATATATACACCGTTTTTCTAATATTTAGGTAGTTTACATATATTTTAACTAAAACCTGTAACAACTATGCTAAAATAAAATAAATTTATCTGTTTACTATAACTACTATGTAAATATGAAGACAACACTGTTTTAGAGTTTTAACGAAAATGTATTTAATCTAACAGCTAAATATATAGGCGAAAATAAAATGGAAAAAGGGTAAAAGTCAAATAACACGATTAATTTCATCCTTTTGAGAAGAAAGGCATATAATTTTATTTCGTTAAAAACTTCTTATTCGCAAGGCATTTGGCGCCAACGCCGTCGGACAATTTGGCAACACGGCGTACAAGTCCGCAAGCGTGTCAATATCAAGAACGCACCCTGATCAAAATATCTAACCGGCAAAAAGCATAACTTTCCCATTTAAATTTGCCCCTCGAACATTTTTTATCGCAATTATATTTATTGTTTGGCAGTGCGGTTGCAAAAAGTTGTTTTGTTGTTTTTTCGGATTAAAAAGTCAAATAGGTTTTAATCCGGGGAATTTTGCCTTTCGCACACTGTAGATCATTGCCCGTTTACCCTGCTTTACGTTTAAATATAGTTTCGCTAAATTTAATTTGGTTAATTTTATTTTTATTAAATTGGCTTTTTCTTTGTTGTTTCTTTGTATTCGGATTTGGCTTCCTTTTAAGATACGTAATCCTTTTTTGCTGTGTAAAATCCAGGTAGGTATTTGGGAGGAAGGATAAGGCCAATAACATTTATAGGTTTTAGTTGATAATACCTTTAAATTTAAATTTGGTTTGTATTAATATTTATATATTGGTTTTAGTTAAATTTAAATTTAGTTGCTTTAATATTTGGATATTGGATGATATATATGGGTGTGTATATTTCGGTGTATTTATAAAATAAGGGTTATTGGTATTCAGGGGTTGGCTTTTATATATAGTCGGAGGGAATATTAAGTAAGACACAGTTGGTCTTAACTGATAGTTTGATGTTCAAAAATAGCTCATCAGTGCCGGGCAGCCATGTGGTGTTTAATAATATAAATTATAATTTTGCCAATAAAGGAAAAGTACGCGTGGGTACAGCTGTAATGGAATAAATAGAAGCACTTAATTAATTTAGATGATGTTCGTAAGTGCTACTTACAGATTAAATTTCATTTTGTATTGTTTAGTCAGATTTCAATTAATTTTGTATTTTAGTTGTTAAATGAAACTGATTTAATGTGATATAACACTAGTCCTTGGGTTTCTAAGTAAATTATTTGCTGATGAGAGTTGATGACGTAAAGATAAATAAGTATCGAGTCTGAATCTTATTGTTTAATAACTCGGACCTCATCAGTGCCGGCACACTTCAAGAGTCTTTTGGTGCCTGTTAGTGCCTATCTGTGTACAGCTACACCGTTAAAGCTAAAAAAATTATTTTCTTTCTGTCAGGGTGACATTAATCAATCACTGAAACGTTTTAAATTGTTAATCCATCATGTTAAATTAAAATTCTAATAATCCCAAAAAGCCTTAATTGCGAATCATGTTTTAGAAAAAGACATTTTATGTACAAGGATAAGAGAATTGGATTAACAATGGGTTTATCAGCGTTTTTAAATTAAGTAAGTAATTACGGGGCCTAAAAAGTTTCAGAAAATAACTTATTTAAATTTTGATCAAACCGGTGGGCTGCAGATGTTTCACAGAAAACCTAATTATGTAAGTTATAATTGCTTGTATTTTTTTATGAGATCTTGGATGTCAAGCTTTAAGCGTTTTAATAAAAAAGAACTCGTAGCTACATGTTAAGTACATTAAAAATATTAGGATCATACATCAAACGCTCCATGCATCAACTTAAAAGCAATATCCAACAACCTTTTTTTTAATTTAGCACAAGATGTGTCGTTTTGGAGCTTTCAAGCAGGAATGAAACATAAAATTAACAAAATTATACACACGGATAAACAGCTCGTAAGAAGGATTTTTTTTAATAAAACCGCAAGATTAAGGTAAATTTCGTATCAACGATGAACGGGTGTAATGAAAAAATGGCGATAATACATTTATGAAACTTTCAAAAGATGTGCTGTTAAAATCTAATTGCTTGCCTTAATTTATTAAAAGATATTGCGTTTTTGCCGTTGCCTTATTCTTTATTCTATCCCACGAAATGAATTTGTCAAAAAGGCAAAATTAAGATGTAAAGTGTAAAAAATATAAAAAAGCACAAGGAAAATTCAATATATTTATTATTCTCCTAATAAATTAAAATGCATGACTTCATCTCCATTCTATATTAAAACAAATATTGATAAATGAAGATTATAAAATGTAAATTTCATTTCGTCACCTTATTTGCAAATAATGGCAAAAGTTTGATTGAAAATTCATATTTGTCGTACTCTGATGCCAAAAATCTGTATCAACTTATATAAAACTTTATGTAAGTAACAAACAATGTTTTCATCTTTTACTTTTTGCCTGGATTATAAGGAAAAACTTTTATGGATTGATATTTCATATTTGGCGCTTTTTTATTAGTATTTATATTACATTTCATATATTGTACGAATATTTACAAAAATGGCGAATGCGCCGGGTTATTTTATAACAAATTGTAAATCGTTATATTAACTGAATAATCCCTAAAAGTACAAACAAGGAATTTTTGCCAAAAAAACTTTAGTGCTCAAAACGTCTGCCATCAACTTCCATAAAAAACAAAGGCCTTTTAACAAATTCTATAATTTAATTTTAATTAAATATGTTTGTTATTTTGTAAACAATAATAAATAACAGGTAAAAATAAAAAATAGTGAATTAAATGAAAAATATTCGTCTTTTGTCAAAATTTAAAATGTATCATATTTAATGTATTAAATGTCAGCCAGTGTCTTTTTAGTTATAATAAGAGAATATTGTCTTTTGTAAAATGTGCAGCAAATTTGAAATAGAAAAAAGTGGTAATATAATATTTTAGCTAGCGGTTTAATTAAAAATGTCTACAACGTTTAAAAACCCTGGGGGTTTTTTTACTTGCAGATTTTTCAAACTATTATTAAAAACAAAAGTTTTGTCTAGCATAGTTTTTCGATGCATTCTTCAAGAAACAAAATTATTTTCTTGTGCAAAAAATATCTGTTTGAATTATGTATTTTTATAAACTAAGCCTTTCAAATATCTGTCAGTGTGACCCATTTGTTTGTGACCCACCCCTGTAAAATCTTTATTTATTGTGTGTACATCTTGATAAACTGTTTTTTGGAACAAAAATCAGTTTTTGAGAGTACATTTTTAAAGTAGATGTGAAGCTCTTTTTTTAAATTATTCACAAAGTTTAATTTCCAATTTTACCAAACTTATTTTGTAATTTAAAATATTTCCAATAAAAAATATATTAGCAGTATTTACTTTCTCGCATAAATATGCATATTTTAATAATTATTCCCAAATTATGCAGCAAATTGATTCCACGAGGCATTTTATTTGCCTAACTTTTATATTATATCGCAAACTTTAAATTGAACAACTATATAGGAAAACTTCTTTATTTATATCGAATTTGCAGTGCAGTACATTTCAAGTCAAACTAATGTTTATCTTAATTGAATCACTGATTTATATAAAAATAAAATTTAACTGACGTGTTCATTAACCCTTTAGAAATCCATCCAATATTTAGCGTGTCTGAAATTCGAAATGACGATTAAAAATCCAATTTAAGTTTGACGTAATAAATCATAATTTTCGACGAAAAACACATAGAGAAACTGGTGGAGACATAAAGTGTCTATAGTATGTATACCAAGCAAAGAAAAGTGAATCGTACTCGAGAAGATAAGGGGTTCACTGAACAGGGTTGTACTGTGTAAATTTACAACTGAGCTTTTACCGGATCGTAAAAATGTTGATATGTAAAATTAGAACGGATCAGACATTTCAGATGCCGCCGACAAAAACATAATTTAACATAAACTGATAAAGGCACATAGAAACGAAAACTTGAATCGGAAAATATGCCAGAATATAACTCTCTCTCTCTCTCTCAACAAAAGGAACTGCACTTTTCTTATACCTCTACCCTACTCAAAATATATATGTTAACTAACTTTATCAAAATGTAAATGCCCAATTTATGCAAATTTTATTATCGATTCTTTTAAATTTTATCAATTGACCTGATTTTTTCAAGTTTACGAACTATAAAAATATCCCGGCGCATTCGCCATTTTTGACACAATTGACCACCAATTTTTAATAAAGCTTACTTCAGCACGTGACTAAAACGTCATTAGTCACAGCCTGTCAATGTGTATTTAAACGATCACTTAGCGTATGAAAACATTTACCATAATGAAGGGAGTAGAAAAAATATTTTTTTGCCTAAAAGGTTTTTTAATTAAATTTATTATTTTAAGTTAAAATCCCTGGTTTTAAAAGGCTTTCAAAGATGATTTAATTAATCCGTATTTATGAAAGCAATGAATCATTTTTTTGTTTTTCTCTAAAATAAATCATCATTATTCCATCATAAATGCCCAATCCAATTCTTTGGAATCGTTCACATTAATAGTATATTATGTATCAAGTTTGATAAACGGCATTTTATTTACGAGCGAGTGTTAAATAAAAACTAGTTTCTAGAATTTAACTTGGCAAAAAAACCGTAACCAATGTGAAATTACATACATACATATGTACATTTATATTTTTTAAATTAAAATAAAAAACTTTATCTAAATATTCAAAAATATACAGTGTGTTTCATTGAAAAAATCAATGGTATATCTATTTTATCAATTTTACCGATGCTCTTTTGTTTTTTAGTTTTTGTCAAAAAAATTACTTTTTTAAACCATGCAAGCTGGATTTTTAATTTTTTAATATCTCTTCAATTAAAGATTTTAGAGGGGTGTCCCATTTAAACGAAAACACCCTGTACATAATAAGATGCTCTTTAAATGTTGCTGCAACAATTTTTATAAAACCTATATTTTCGACCTATATACGTCACGTAAGGCAAAAGTTAAAATGTATAAAATATTTTCATAGAAAATTTAATTTCCAATAAAAAAGATTTTTTGCCTTAATCCAATAAACTGCATGGTTTAAGAGTTATAGAGCACATTAAATTTTACTGTCAAATATCGATAAAATTAGGTTCTTTATCAATAGTTGACAGTAAAATGTATTAAATGCTCTATATCTTCTAAACTATACATTTTATTGCATTAATGCATAAAACTATTTTTGTAAGAAATTAAATTTCCTATAAAAGTATTTTTGTAATAATATTTGTGCCGTAAAACAACATAGTAGTCCTATTAGTTTATTAATATTTGACATTAAAATCTATTAAATGCTTTATATCTTTTAAACTATGAATTTTATTTTATTAATACATATGACTTTTTTTATAGAAAATTGAATTTTTCATAAAAGTTTTGTTTACTTTTTACTAGTAACTTTAACCGTTTTGCCGTGAAAAAACATATTACTAAATAGTTTATCAATATTTGGGACCACAATTTATTAAATGCTCTATATCTTTTATACTATACATTTTATTGCATTATTGCGAAAAACCTTTTTTTATAGAAACAGGGGTCGAATGATCTTACAATCAGAGAGAGAAAAAGATAGAGTTTTGTAGTGCAGCATGATTATTGATTATTAAACATGTTTCATTTATTTACTATAGTATAGTATAAAATGCATATTATAATTGTGTTTTGATTTATCTTTCGGAATAAAAAGTGAAAACGATTAACGTTGACGTAACATTTGGCTGTAAGCTCCATTACTCTTTCTTGGAAAAGAATAAAGTGTAATGAAAAAAGGTTTATTAAATGTCTCGAGCAATGACTGAATCAATACAAGCGCACAATATTAATTTAAGTACAATGGCTTAAATTATGCATCGTTGTAATTATCTTGAAGTTTCCAAGTTGCCATGTATAAGGCACATCGCTTGCTCCTTTATCAACAGCAATAAACAGCAGTAGCTACTTGAAGAAGAATTTTTATTATTTGGGCATAACAAGTACTTAAGAGATTGATCTTTTTAGATTTGCCCAAAAGTATATAAAACCCTTAAGAGCCGCTACAGTTGGGTTTTATTTACTTGCTTGCACTTGCACACCTAACATTTATTTTTAGCAAATCAAATTGATTCGGTATCCTAATTTATAGCTTAGAGGCTTTGTTCGAATTCAATTTGCAAATCAGTTAAATAACAATGAAATATATAGATTATGCTGTGAGGGTCTAGACTAATTATTATCCCTTATAAGACACAGCAGAGGAATCAATCTACATTTATCACATGAATAACGTTGGGTTTCATTAATAAATACAAGGCCATGTGGGTACAGTCGAGCAGAAAGAAATGAAATTTGGGTTGCTGGGTCTTTTGGTAATTCTTGCATGCAGGTAGGAATAATAATAATAATAAAATAATAGAGAAGGAGAAAGCGAGAGAAGTAAATAGGTTTCGTACCATTTGGTAGAGATAGGCAGATTTGAAGAGAAATAATGAGCGCCAAAGCTCGTCGACTGCATTTCGGCATGCCACTTTCCATTAGATAGCCAGTGACAGTTCAGATGCAGAACGCTTACGTTTAAGTTTTACTTTAGTTTAATTTTAATCGAATTTACTCGGTTAGATTTAGGTTGATAATTGTTTAGCGGACACAGTTTTATGATGTTTTTTTCGATAGAATAAGTTAATTTTTAACGTGTTAAATACATATGTACGGATACATACACATGTACATATATATATTTAAATATAGAGCGTTAACCGGCAGAGAAATTATTAGGTTACTTCATTTTTACGTCTAGTGCCGACTATGCACTTTCGTTTACTGATGGTGCTACGGTTTTGAATGTCTCTCCAGCAGCGTGCTACTGCGCTTAGCCTCTATTTTTCATTTGCCCAGCGCAGACCCGCCGCTCTGGCATTTACTTCCCCTTGCCCGGGACCTAACCTAACCGGGGCTCTCCCACCCCGAACCGTAGTCCCGTCTCTTCCGTCTCCATCCCCGCACGCCACGTGCTCCCGTGTTTACCAAAAACACGTTTTCCCCCGGTGCGCACGCTCTCTAAGCTTGTCGCATCATGCTGATTTCTTCTCTAAACCAATAGCCGCTCCACATACTACCCACCTCGCGAAAGCCCACCCCCTATGTTGCCGCGTCTATTCAAATCGCCCCCGTTTAGCACCATCAATCGTGCAACAAAAAATCCCTCTCTTCCACACAACGTGGCAACTCGCTTCCAAATCTTTTCACTACCCTTGTTTATTCATAAGGTCACCGTTTTTCGCTAACTCTGAATGAGTGCCGAACTGAATATATTCGAACACAAGAAGAACAAAATCTTAATTCGACGGTTCGTTTTTTTTTTAATCGATCACTTGGTGTTGAAGTTATCCTGTCCAGTGTCTCCTAGATAGTGCGACTTGTCGCCGCTGATGCGCCTGCGTAGATTGGCCAGTCGACAGTCGAAAGACCGTCTCCTCAAATGTCAAACACAATACATTCAAATCTCTATTTACGTTTGAAAGATAACAGATCAGTTTATCTATCTCTTAAATTCACTTTAGCTACCTAGTTTATTGATCCTTCTAATAGCTAAACTGTCAATTATATCTTGATAATGTTCATTTTCATATTTTATTATTAATTTAACGTTCATCAAAGACAAGCTATCAATATTTATCTTTATAAAAATAACAATTTTACTTCATTAATGATAAATACAAAAATTAGAACTCCCCATTATAATTATAAAAGGAAACACAACACCTACTCTCAGCTAATTTATCAAATTCAATTTAAAATTTAATTTTACGTAAGAAACCTGTCTTAAATGATAAATGCAATTTTGTAATAGCATATCCTTGCACAATCTAGATGAATATCCTTAATAATTATTACCCTAGACACTTCCCTCCGAAAACCTTATTGAAGCTTTCTTTTTTATTAATGATGACTTTTATGTCCTGTTTACTTATTTAACAAAGTGGAAACTACAGCATTCCGAATTTCGCAATCTGCACATCACATGTGCTGCACATCACATCTACCGCCATCTACCAATTAATAGCAAAATTCACATATTTTCTGCCTCCCTTCAATGTTTTAATTTTAATTTCCTGTTTTTTATAAATCTTATTAATTTTTAAATTTTTACATTGACGAGCTGTGACTTTATGGCGTTTTAGTCACGGGATAAAGTTAGCAATAATGACTTTTGAGCATTTTAGGCACAGGCTGAAATTAGCTTTATTATTAATTGGCGAAAAGTAAGGTTAAATCGGTTTAAACTTGACAAATGTCAAATGTTTAACGATTAAATTGGCTTTAAATTCTTCTTTATCTTCGTCATAGATAAAGTATAGTATGCAACTCGTTTTTATTAATCACTCGCTCGCCATCTTCCCTGGTGCCTAATAAAACTAAAATGACGTATAAAATACTATCATTTGTTTGGTGTGATGTAACGCACGATATAGACCCCCTCCCTCCATGTTATACAGTGTTACTAACGGTAACCCCTCCTTAACGTGCTAAGTACTCTACGCTAAATTTTCACCTACCTTTTCTGATGATATTTTTACGCAACACAGTGCCGAGTGCATCCGAACGACTTGAAATAGGGTGGGGATATTTTGCAGCACTCGGTACTGTATACCTTTAGCGTGAAAATACGGTATAAGGAAAAGGATTGAATCTAGGCTCCACAAAACAAATAAATTTTGTCCGAAATTCATATTTTATACCTGGGCTGGATATATAAATGCCAAAATTTATAAATGTCTCCCAGGTTAAAAATATAAGCCTAGATTCAAGGTGAGGTGATGTTTAAATAAAATGTTTTGCATAGATGTTAACATTAATTTATTTTTCACAGTTTCCCTTCAAAGATGAAACAAAGGGCAGTATTTTTTTTAGCCAATCAAAGCATATATTTTAAAACACGCAACGCCAAGTCTAACTATATGAACAGCCTTTGGGGGATATCGTAATAATATTTACAGAAAAATCTTTCGACACCTTGATTTGTTTTTCACTAAGCAAAACGCAATTAAACTAAACAGTCGTATAATTTCTGCCGATTATACAGGGACCTAAAATTGGCGACCCAAAGGACATTTGAAATTCCTTTACGATTTTTTCTAATTCGCCAAATTGCAGGAGTTATTTAACTTTAAAAGCCGCCAATTAGATCACCCTGTTTGTTTGAATGTAGCTAGGCAACACAGATTACAGTTTTAAATAACGAATTTGAAAAAATTGAAATGGATTTTCAATTAGGGATTTAGCTTTACCCTTTAGGTCACCAATTTACACCCTGTATATTATAATTCGAGAGGTATTACTAATAATTATTTAACAAAAATAATAATAATATTTTTTGACTAACAACTAGTTCTAACATTTAAACTTTACATCACATTCGTTTAGCATAATTTAAGCTATCCTATATTGAAAAATATACCTATATAAATAATGAAAATATTTACATGTTTTTGGACATTTATTAAATTTTTTTCATAATAATTTAAATCACACTAGTGAGTTTAACGAAAAAGTCAAGTCTTGTAAATGAAACGATAATATATATAAATATATATAGTAAAGTAATATAAAAAAATAATACAATAAATAGTTAAAAGAATTTGGCACTCAATAGAAAAAAATTGCCGGAATAATAAAAAGCGAATTAAAATCATCCTGACTAGAATAACAATACTTGGTAGATAGTTGAGTGAAGCATGCGCGTTAAAATGAAAAATATTATCGTTACATTCAGATTGAGGGTTTTTCTGCAAAAATTAAACAATATCAAGGTGAATTTACCTCCGATGATTTAGCGGATCAAAAATGATCAGTTTCATGTTCAAGAGAGCGATTTTCTCTTGTATACTGTTGTTAGACTGAGGCGCGTCGGCTGTCTCGCTCATGTCGGACTGCTGAATAAAACCGTTAACATCCGGCGCGAGTCTCAACTGTTTGCTGTCCGAGGTGCTGACTTTGTCGACCGCAGGCCTTTTGCAGTTGACTTTCGAAACACTTTTTACTTTCAGTATGTTGGGCCGGTGCGAGGCGTTATTCAGCACCGAAACCGATTTGTAGCCCATTTTGCGCTTAGCGTTTATTGCCGTTTGTATGTCGTTACGCTGGCTTTCCAACTGTTGGTACGATAGTAAAATGGCCCCACCTACCTTGCGGGTGTTAAACGTCGGTATCGATACCGGCTTCGGGTGCGACTTGTACATCGTCGTCTCGGTATCGGCAGGTATCGGCAAGTATTGCGACTGGTTCGGCAAAGGCGGGCTCATCGCCGACTGAGGCGACTCCAGGCAAATCATGTTTTTGCCAATTTGAACAAACTAAAAGCAAAATACAACCATCATCTTAAAATAGTATATTATGTATCAAGTTTGATAAACGCCATTTTAGATACGAATTAAGAAAAGTTAAATTACATATTTGTATAGAGCGACATCTAAAATAATTAAGTAACCGACTTGGGAATCCTAATTGTCAAATGTAAAATTTTTATATTTAAATTGAAATGTATCCCTAAAAAATGGACCGTTTAATATAGAATCAGTTTTTTACAGTGAAAGTAAAGAAAATGTTTTATTGGCACTCCACGGTGTCTACCCGAAATTAAGTTAAATCTAGTTTACTACCGCCGAAACAATGTTCATATAAACTTTTTAAATGGGGTTGAGAAACTATTTAATAATTTTGTATTTGTGTATTATCATAATACAATAATTTTTACATTTAGTATTATTTCACAAGGGCACTTTATTTTAACGCTTGTGTGATATTTGACAACTGTCAACTAACTTAAAGCTAACTCAGCCTGTGACTAAAGCGCCATAAAGTAGTAAAATATCTTGTCAATGTGTATTTAAAAGATCACTTAGTGTCATGGAAACATGTACAGTAATGGCCTTTTAGAACAAAATACTTTTGAGAAAGTCAAGCCCTTTAGAAAAATTCCAAAATACATTTTAGTATGTTAAAACATATTTTCTAGTCGAGCCTTTTAGAACATATACAAAATACATTTTTAATAAGTCAAGACTTTTGGAAAAAATACATTTTAAAATTTTAAACCTATTTAGGAATGTCAAAACACATTTCAGAAAGTCATTTACAACCCTTTTAGAAAATGTCCACAATACATTTTAGAATATTAAACGTCAAAACACATTTTGGAAGGTCAAGCCTTTTAGAAAAAGTTCAACACATTTAGGAATGTCAAAACACATTTTAGACAGTCAAGCCCTTTAAACGTCCAAAATACAATTAGAATGTCAAACATATTTAGAAATGTTAAAACAAATTTAAGAATGTCATTCACAAGCCTTTTAGAAAATGTCCAAAATACATTTTAAAATGTTTAACCTATTTGGGAATGCCAATACACAATTTAAGGTCAAGCCTTTTCCAAAATGTCCAAAAGACATTTTAGAATATTATTGGAAGGTCAAGCCTTTTAGAAAATGTTCAACCCATTTAGGAATGTCAAAACACATTTTAGACAGTTAAATTTAAGAAAGTCAAGCTTTTTAGAAAATTTCCAAAATACATTTTAGAATGTTAAACCTACTTAGGAATGTCCAAAATATATTTTAAAATGTTTAACCTATTTAGGAAAGTCAAAACACAATTTAAGGTCAAGCCTTTTCCAAAATGTCAAAAATACATTTTAGAATATTAGACGTCAAAACACATTTTAGAAAATGTTCAAAATATATTTGAGAATTTTAAACCCATTTAGGAATCTCAAAACACATTTTAGACAGTTAAGCCTTTTAAAAACGTCCAAAATACATTCATAATGTCAAACATATTTAGAAATGTTAAAACAAATTTAAGAAAGTCAAGCTTTTTAGAAAATTTCCAAAATACATTTTAGAATGTAAAACCTACTTAGAAATGTCAAAACACATTTCAGAAAGTCATTTACAAGCCTTTTAGAAAATGTCCAAAATATATTTTAAAATGTTTAACCTATTTAGGAATGTCAAAACACAATTTAAAGTCAAGCCTTTTCCAAAGTGTCAAAAATACATTTTAGAATATTAAATGTCAAAACACAATTTAAGGTCAAGCCATTTTAGAATATTAAACGTCAAAACACATTCTAAAAGGTCAGAAAATGTTAAAAAACATTTAAGAATGTTAAACCCATTTAGGAATATCAAACGTATTTTAGACAGGCAAGCCTTTTAAATAAGTCAAGCCTTTCAGAAAATGTCCAAGTTAAATTTTAAAACGTCAATATAAACAACAATTCTATGGAAGATAAATAAAATATATTTTTTTAATAACATGTTTTATTACAATAGAGGTATTGGAGGTTAATAGCAAATATCACATAAGTACTAGTCTTGTTTTTCCTTGACACCATTCTTCTTTCTCCATTTGTCTTCATCATCGTCGTCATCAAGTCTTAGTATGAAGTTAATAACATCATGATCAGCCTTATCTAAATCAGACTTATTTTTGATTTTAGAAAAATCATAATAGACACTATCATCCTTATAACCAATCGGAATTTCCAATACTGATAACTTCTTATCAACTGCTCTTCTACGCTGCATTTCAGTTCTGGATGTGGAAGCAACATCTTCAGGGGTTTTACCATTGGTATTTGTTCCAGAAGCTTCCCCATCTTTCTTAGCCTTATTTAAATTTACATTCTTTGTATCCTTAGAATTGGAGGCCATCTTAGCACTAAATAATTAAAATTGCGAATAATTTTAAACTTCAGAATCTAAGCAAAAGCACTAATTTTTTACGTCTCACAGTCTGTTAAAAGGATAGATGGCTATTTAAATAATACCTCCTTACCTGAATCACTCATGTTATGGATATGATAAGAATGTAATTGATGTTTATAAATTATTGGTAACTTAATAATTTTCGTACTATTTTATATAAAACAAAGGTGGAAATTTTTCCATGAATTAATTAGTTAAAGTTAAATTTAATAATGATATTTCCTGAGCCTTTAAGGAAATGTAATAATATGTTTCTTTGCAGCTATGTTAAAATAACAGCAGTATTTTTTATTATTTACTTCAAGTATTAAAATTTAAAAGTAACGAAAATAAAAACAAACTTATTATTTTATAGTAACATTAAAAAAAAAATAAGAAAAAATGCTTACCAATATTTTATTTAACAAAACCAAAAATTTATTTGACAAAATCGCTTAAAAGAACTTATCACTATATTAATTAATTTTGCTGCGTTTTGAGCCACACATGCGTTCGCGAGCGCGCCCCACTTTTAAACGAGTGGGGCAGTGTAAAGGCGCAAAGTGCGATGTTATTTTTGAAAACACCAGGATTTTAATTTGTCCAAACATGTTGTAATGAAAGTGCTATTTCAAAAATGAGTCGATTTTTTTTATTTTAATTTATCAAATTAGTTCAAAAATGCATTTTTGTAAGTTATCATGTCAAACATGAAAATGTGTCACTTGTATGGACGCCAATAAGTTGCGAATTAAATCCCCTCGATTTTTTTGTTGGGTTTTTGAAAATATGTCACTTGACAACACAATAAAAATGTTTAAAATACAAAATTATTGTAAAATATTATTTTTGAAATCGCCGGGATTTAATTTGTCTAAACGTGTTGTAATCAAAGTCTTATTGCTCACTTTTTTAATTCCAATTTATCAAAAAATGTTTTTACCGTTTGTAGTTTTTATAGTTAAAAAATTCATTGCAATACTTGAAAACTCAACAAATAAAATTTACCTGCACGGGGCTAACTACTGAAATCGGACTCATGGGCATGTAGACCACTGGGACCGTCCCCACAGCGCTTTCCTGAGAATTATTTTGTATACTTGGATTGTATCCATTATCTAATGAACCGTCAGGTTCCGAGGAAATTGTTTCCTAAAATAAACACAAATGGAAATTAGTTGCACTTCAGTCCAAGGCATCTCGAAATGCGGCTTACCTTAGTAAGACTTGTAGTAATTGAGGTAGTTTGTCTTGAAATTTGGGATGAGTTGGTAAGAGTGCCGTCTGCGGCGTTTTTCGGCATGATGGGTACGTATGCGGTGGTGGAGGTTGGAGAGGTTGCCGAGCTATCAATGGCGCTGACAATCGTGGCGACAATAGGTACGTAAGAAGTACTTTGGCATAAAAACTCTTCCTCTTCTAAATTTACCGATGTGTACGAACTGGATGATGGGTGTTGTTTGAAGTCTTTCTCTTTTGCAGCCTTTCGCTCTGATATCAATAGGTTTATGTCCTTGCTTCTTCCAGGAACCATTCTTCTTAGCTTTATCTAAAAAACAATTATTTAAAAATATATACAACATACAATGTAAAGGGTGGTACTTTTTTTTGAAAAAGTCAATAACGAATTAATGCAACCCTGTAACAAGATCCGAAAGTACCCAAAAGAAAAAGGACCACCCTACAAATACAGTGATCAAGCATAACAAAAAAAAACGACAACAGCACAAGCGGGTTTTTATGAATTACTTACTATTTACAAATGACTTAGTCCTTGTACTATACATAAATCTTTTATGGCTTTTGTTACACCACCAATTTTTGTGATTTTTCATCTAGAAAAATTACAAAACAAGATGAAATGTAAAGTTACAAAAACATTACTATGCAGTAGGGTGGTCTTTATTTCATCATTTAAAATTTTTACGTGCAGTTAAATTTCAAAAATTTAAATATTCTGGGAACATTTTAAATTGATTCGGTCAATAGTTTTAAAGATACTTAACTAAAAATAAAACTGATTTTATGAAGATATTTGCGTTAAAAACGGTTTTTTACAATAAAATTTGATAATCAAAAAAATGTCTCACTTTTATTAAGTAATAAAAATTCATATTTTTTCAGAAAAACGACCTTTTGGGACATTTTTGCAATAAAACTTAAATTACTATAAAAAATAATTATATTTTGTAAAATAGTCAGTTGGACAGTTTACATTTGGCCATTGAAGTCCTTCATCAAGTGAACAGATGTTTTTGGTACCAAAAATATACTCCATTAGAGTCTTTTCTACTTGGGACCCTACGTATGTATATACAGGGTGTCATCTTTAAATTATAAAAGAACAAAAACAAACAAAAGCTGATCCACTAACTCTAAACCATTAAAAATGTCACATTGAATTTAGAACAAAAGAACATCAAAATTAAGGAGCCACTTGAAGAAGTAACCTTTAGAAAAAGAACCATACATGAACATAATAGGTACTAGAGGACAATTACAAATAGCAAAATGAAGAAGTAACCTTTAGAAAAAGAGCCATCACAAGAACATAATAGGTACTGGAGGACAAGAACAAAAGCAAAATGAAGAAGTAACCTTTAGAAAAAGAGCCATCACACAAGAACATAATAGGTACTAGAGGACCAGAACAAATAACAAAATGAAGTAGTAACATTTAGAAAAAGAGCATAATAGGTATTAGAGGAAAGAACAAATAGCAAAATGAAGAAGTAACCTTTAGAAAAAAAAACCATCACACAAGAACATAATAGGTACTAGAGGACCAGAACAAGTAGCAAAAGAAAATGAGCCATCACACATGAAAATAATAGGTACTAGAGGACAAGAACAAATAGCAAAATGAAGAAGTAACCTTTAGAAAAAGAGCCATCAGATGAACATAATAGGTATTAGAGGACAGGAACAAATAGCAAAATGAAGAAGTAACCTTTAGAAAAAAAACCATCACACAAGAACATAATAGGTACTAGAGGACCAGAACAAATAGCAAAAGAAAATGAGCCATCACACATGAACATAACAGGTACTAGAGGACAAGAACAAATAGCAAAATGAAGAAGTAACCTTTAGAAAAAGAGCCATCACACAAGAACATAATAGGTACTAGAGGACCAGAACAAGTACCAAAAGAAAATGAGCCATCACACATGAACATAATTGGTACTAGAGGACAAGAACAAATAGCAAAATGAAAAAGTAACCTTTAGAAAAAGAGCCATCACACAAGAACATAATAGGTACTAGAAGACCAGAACAAATAACAAAATGAAGTAGTAACCTTTAGAAAAATAGAATAATAGGTATTAGAGGAAAGACAAATAGCGAAATGAAGATGTAACCTTTAGAAAAAGAACCATCACATGAACATAATAGGTATTAGAGGACAGGAACAAATAGCAAAATGAAGAAGTAACCTTTAGAAAAAGAGATTACAGATGAACATAATAGGTAATAGAGGACAAGAACAAATAGCAAAAGAAAATGAGCCATCACACAGGAACATAACAGATATTAGAAAACAAGAACAAAAAGCAAAAAACTTTGATTGTATTATGTTTAGATGAAAAATAATGTATTATATTTTGCAAAATTCTTCGTATATTTAAACGATTTGCACGCAAAATAAGGACGACCCTACTAAAATTAGGCATTTTGGCCACCTCGTATGAAATCCAAAAAACCCAATTGTAATTGCATTTTTTTTTCATGTGGAACTTACCCTGTGATTGGAACAAGTGATGGATCTAGTGCAGGGGCCCTTGTTTCCTTCGATGACGCCGCAGTGAACGTCAGGATCGTAGTCCTTGGTGGGTTTGCTGCTCCTTTTGCTCTTTTTATGCTTGCTGGAAGATGTGCTTGTAGGCGACCCTGTGGAACTGTTTGGCGGCGAATTAACGTTTGCCTCGCTCGTATCACTATGCGTCTCATTGTCCCGCTCCTGTTCCCTTTCGCGTTCCGATTCCATTTCGCGTTCTTTATCTCGTTCGCGTTCCTTCTCCTTTTCCCGCTCCTTCTCCTTTTCCCGCTCCTTCTCCTTTTCTCGCTCCTTATCCAGTTCGCGTTCTTTCTCCCTCTCCCTTTCGCGTTCTTTGTCTTTTTCTCTTTCCTTTGGTACCTATAGTTTAAAGTTCAAGAAATAGAAAAAACATTAATAATTTATAATACCGTTGTATCCATTAGAGTGACTGTTGGTGATATTAGTGACTGAACCTCGGGATTAATCGACGTAGATGACATTGGAGGCGGAGTAGCAGGTTTCTGTACACACAAAATGTTAATTAAAAACCCCCATAACAACAACAAAAAATTACCTTAAACAGTGTATGATGATGTATGGGTTGCGAATGTGATTTCTTCTTGCTTTTAATTTTCTTTTTGATGTCTTTCGAACTTTGCGACGATCCACTTTTACCATGACAATATTTGTGCAGCAAAACGTCTCTAGGATTAAACACCACCCTGCATTCTTTGCATTTACTGTAGATTCTTTGCTCCATTTTCGGAATGCTTCCATACAACATTGCATCTTGCCTCGGCAATAGTCTGACACGGGGAAGGTCATAATTGTCTGGGTTCTTTTCTCCTAAAATAAACAACGTTGCTTTTAGAAATCACTTAATAACAAAATATATCGAGTTGGATAATGCACAATGTTACAATACAACTAAAATTAAAAAGTAATTTTAAAAAATCGCGCACCACCCCAAGTAAACCCAGAAAATTGTTAAAAAAATCTACTTTTCTTATTTAAAAAGATACATATTTTTTGGTAGTTTAATTATTAAACATTATGACAACAATGTTAAAAAGTGTCAAATTCTTGGAGGTTATTCATTTTACGTCAGACTTGACAGAAGAAAATATAGGGAGTCCCTGTCATTCTCCAAGCACAACAGACATATTACAATAATCAGTAAGTACTACTCACTAAAGGAATACGTATCAATATTTAAAAGAAATGTTATGACAGAATCTAATTTTGAATTTTAACTGCCAATCATTGTCTATGATGTGATGTACAAAGATAACAATCAATTAACCAATTAATTGTTGGGATATTCAATTGCATATCATGTTGCCAAACGCATACGTATTGTTAAAGTAAAAATCGTAAAATTTTAGAAAAAACATTAATTTCTCATGAAAATGTTTGAACATTCTGTAAATTAGACCTAATCTATATAATAAGACTTAAAACAATATAATCAATTGTTTTTAAATAATAAAGGTAGGATTTTTTTAACAATTGAGGACCGTAGATTATCCTCCTTAAAGGTGGTATTATATTATAAAATTAATATTTTTTTACAAAAAAACGACTTTTTGGGTTTAAAACTGATTTTTGTAATAAAACTTAAGATAAATGAAATAAAAGCAGTTTAATAGAGTACAAAATTCCATTGCAGTTTTTTACATTTAAAGCAAGACTAATTTGTGTAAATAGTTTGTACCTTTAACAATAGTTTCTAGACCAATAATTTTAATATTTTCTTCTTATTTTGTTAAATATGTTTAATTATTGTATATTCCAATACATGTATTTTAAATCATCATATTGTGACATGTTCTGTAAAATAGTTGTTGTCCTTGGATTAAATAAATTATGTTATTATAAACAACAATTTCGGGATGTATTTCTTGATTACCAATTAAAAATGTAAATGTATTATAATAAAATATAAAGTTAATATTTGAGTAAATGCTGTTTATGAATACAGGTTTTCAAAAAAGGGTTTGACAAAAAGATGTGGTTGAAACTTTTAATAAATTACAAATTTAAAAAACTTTTTCTTTATAATTTTCAGAATTCTTATAATTTCCATTATCCTAGTTTTCAAAATGTACAAATTACAAACAAGACTCGATTCCTATCATCTCCTTCAGAAGGTTTACTTTATTAGTGTGCTTATAAAGGTGAGGCACACATTTTTAAACATTTTTTAAATTGTTATATTTATTTATTTATCTCTAATTCACCCATGCATATGTTAAGAAACAAATTAGTAACATTCAAATTAGAATATTTGTCATACGACAAGTATTTTGATAAACTGTTGTGTATCCACACAAAAAAAATCAAGCTATTTCTTTGTTAGTTAATAGGTAATTATAATTGTTAGTAAATTATAGGTATAAAATTTTGGAATCTGCACGGTTGAATAAAAAAATTATCATTGTGGCAAAATGGTTTTCGATCTTAGACACAGTTGTTATCAAAAATGAAATATGATCAACTTAGTTTAAGTAGGTATTATTAGAATTAAATGTAGTTTAGGTGTTAAGATGTTAAATTGAGGAAATTGTTGTTCCACTTACCTAAATCTAAATCAGTTTTATCCCTAATCAAGTCCCATTGGGTGATTTCTTCCGAAAATCCTTCAAATAAGTCTTCCATATTTATCACTAAAAGAAAAATAAACGTTTGAGAGTAAATAAGAGCAACGCACAAACAAAAAACATTAATATTTGGACATAATGAAAACTAACCTTAAAATAATTATTTAGTAAAATCACAAAATATTAAAGCTATTAATATCATAAAACAGATAAATAAACGTAATGAATATTAAACTTAACATCCAAGTTTAATTTAAAATCGGGCATAATCTTGAAAACATACGTATGTTCCGTTATTATTGAATTTTGTGTATGGTTGAGGAAAATTCATTATAATCCCTCTTCAAATGCAAAATAAACTTGAAATTTGTTAACTAAAGACTTTATTCTCTATCATTACAGTCGATTTAAGCACTTATTTACTCAAACATCGTCAAATATCTACTCAAGAAATGGTGTGTAAACTACAGCAATTGACAAACTTCTACCTAACCTCTTAAATTTTGATGGTCCAGCGAAAGTAAAGCCTTGAATGCATTACTGCATTTTTAATATCACATCGATTAATTTATCACACAAATTGGCCAATTTAGCTAAAATTCATTTAAAAACTTCCCATTTCAATAATCTTGAATATTATTTATCAACTCAAGTACTTACAACCAAAGTAAACACCAGATTAAAATTTTAAAACTCAGGTAGGTAAATTTATTTTAACTATTAAAATTACCTTAAATTTAAAGAAAGAACAATTTGTGTTTCATAGAAATGAAATACCCAAATAAATAAATTTATCACCCCCAAAATAAAAAAAAAATTATTAAATACCCAGATAACAAATATAATTTCTCAAAAATCATAACCCTCCTCATCATTAAACCTCAAAATACCTAATTAATTAACAATACAAACTATTTTTACATATTTTTAAATGACGTTGGGACTTTTATTTTAAAAAATTTATATTGGCTGTTCACCAAGGCGGGATATTCAAAAACTTACAACAGTACATTTTTCATTGGCTTATAGAGAAGTTGTGGGCGTGTCCTAATTATTAATCCTAATGTTCTTATCTCTGGTTCTTAAGGTGAATGTATCTTGCCTAATGTGGTTCTTTTTCTGCGTTATAAATTTTATGCAAATTGCAAAAGAGAAATCTTGCTCTTCCAATAAAGGAATTCTACTCCGTAGAAATACAGTTTCCTGTATGTCCTATATTTATATGCGTTAAAGTGAAGGTAGGTGGCGCCACAACTCAATAAAATCACATACTTGGAAGTATGTGAATAAAATCATATACTTACCACTGTGTGGTAAGTATATCGATAATATATGGAAGTATGTGAATAAAATTCACACTGTATGGAAGTATGCGAGTAAAATGTACAGGGTGTGTAATATGGCAAAAAATTCAAATTTAAAATTGTTGAAATTACTATTTAATAATTCTCTAAAGATTTTGGACACTTTTTTTTTTAGCTTTTTAGGACACAAAGTTACAAAATTAATTAGTTACAGTACCTACACAAATTGTAAATCGGTCTTTAATAATCACAAATAATTGTTTACTTTCTTACCTTTTTTCTTATTTCTGGACTTAGTTTTGTTTAACTTAATAACTCGGCTTTTGTCATGTTTGGGCCTCAAAACTGTAAACAAAAAAAAATGGGGAAATAAAAAAAAATAAAAAGTGGTATTTTGAAACTCACCCCTAATTTTGTCAGGGTGATTTTTAAATTTTAGACACTGCAGACGGGTTAACATTTTGGCGAATGCTTTTTAACTAGGTACTAAAATAAAATTATTGATGATAAATAAATTTATCATATAAGTTTTGTGAGTTGTTTATAAACTGTCTTTAATAAAATGCCAGACATATTAATCATTGCGTTTGTCTAACTATTAAATAAAATCAATAAAATATTATTAATAATTAAAGGTAATTCACATCAAATCGAAAAATTGCATTTCTTAATGCATGCTCATTGGCTAAATTGAGTTTTGAGGTTTAAACCACTTTTTTAATTTCAAAAGTTTTATTGCAATAATGAGCTTCAAAGCCAAAATTAGTCTTTGTGAAAAATATTTATTTTATCCCAAAAATAGTGTGCAAGCGGGTTTTAGAGCCAAAAATAGGAAGAAAAGAAGATTTCTTCCCATTTTTGTCTTTAAAAACCACGTCCCCCCTCCAGCGTCACGAGATTTATGGACGGCTCGTTGCCAAATGAAAAAACTTTTTTATTATGCGTTTTAGGAAAAAACTCATTCTTCATAAAATCTTTTACATCTTTAAAAAAAATGAATTTAAGGTGCTTGGAAATTAAGATAATTAAATAAGGATAGAAATACCTTTATTTATTATTTTCGTGTTTTGTTAATTTTTTAGCTGCCTGTACATTTGATTTAATTTTTTATAGAATCTCATTTTTTTCAAACAAGCAGAAGTTTTTATGTGGAATTTTTGCACAATAAAAAAGTTTTGCTATTTGAATTTGAATGAAAATAAATTTTTGGGAATTCGGGAGTTAAGAAAGGATTTTGAAAAATTCGTTTATATTAAACAACATTTTATTTTACATTGTCTAAGCGTAAATTAATTATATAAATAAGGATTACTAACGTAAACTTTTTGAACTGAATTTGTGCATCAATTTCCTAATTTAGTTAAGCAAAACAAGCACATTGTAAACCCATTGTGTTTAGGTTGTTTTAAATATAAAGCGTTCTAGATTCTTGACTATTTATATTTAGTGATATACCACAAAACATTTTCAGTCTAACGAGTATCTTAAGATAGTATTATAGTATTTACATGAAAATAAATCAAATAGAAAATTATAGGGATAAAATAAGGAAAACAGCTTAGATAGTTTAAATTTGACTCATAGAGCTTACAAAAAATTGTAAAAAGTATTTTACAAACATTCTGTATATCAAATTAATTTAATTTTTAAGCTAGAAATGCTTAGCACGAGTGAACTGCTCATTTTGGACGGGTTATTCTAAAAATTATTCATTTCTATCACAATTCAACGCTAGCTATCCTAAAAATCACCCAATCTACGTTTTCGAGGTAAAGGCGTCCGCACACCGACCTACCGAAGATTGGTGTGTGGATTCCTTTATTTGGAACAAATATTATTTTCTCTGTTCAGACGTGCTAGCAAATAAATTTTTTAACAAATTGAGTATGTAGATATCTCAGGGTAACATTTTTAAGCATTTGTGTGTATATAACAAAGTGACTTTCTATAGGGTAGGTACCTAGTGCTTTTCTTAATTTACCATCATTTATTTTATACCTAAATTATACCTATTAATTTAATACATTTATTACACAAATGATATGTTTATTTTTATGGTTCAGTCATTACAAGTATTCAATGTTCTTCAGTTTTATGATTTTTTACACACTTACCTTTATTTAACTAAATCAACTAATAACATACAAAAATTCGTTATTTGTAGATATCTAATCTATAGGTCTTATGTACAACATGTTTTTTTTATCGAGAAACCATCCAAAAATTGCAAAAATTCCTTAGTTTTCTTCAATCTTATTTTAGAATTTACAAAAATAATTTTTCGCTAAAAGGAAGTCTGCTGTAAGCGTTAGGGTGCCACAAGGTTCTAACCCTGGACTAACACATTTATTTAACACCATAAATACATTAATTGATACTATAACAGATTTTTTAGCTTATTATTTGGTTCAACCCTGTGAATTTAATGAACATATTTATTATTTAATTAGAGATCTCAAAATTCAACATTGCCCTTGTGAAATTTTTTTGCCGAAAAACTGAGAAAAATATTACAAAATATAATTGTTATAGTTATGTAATCAACACTGTTTTATTGTTATGAATTGAAGTAAACTTGCCTTATTGTAAAAATTGCTTCTGTGTTTTTATAAGCCTTATAACAACACAGAAACAATTTTCATAAATATTTTTTTTCGTATTTTCAAATACACTATATCTAATGAATTCCAAGTTTTATTAAGTCAGAATAACTCTTCCAGAAGATGAGTTTTTCAGAGAAAAATTTCCACGAGGGTGATTTATTTACTTATTCCTGTTATAATAATTATCTACCTTATAATATTTATTTAAAATTATGAAGAACATTGAAAAAATTATACAAAATATAATACAACAATAAAATATTGGTGTATTCAAGAAATAATTTAGAGCTACAACGATGATATGTATCGGTTATATGTAAGCTATGACACAACAGAAGCTTATGTAAATCATAGTATATACTCTGTAAAGATGAGTAAGATGTCAAACTCACATAGGAAGACTTACAGATTCTATAGTATTTTTTTTAGTTATACTTTTGAAGTTACACTTCTTTTGGCGCAACAAATGTTGCGCGCGCACAAAGCCAATGGAAGTTGCGCACGCACAGCCAACGAAAGTTGACAGTCTAATAAAATCGATATGAGTGTACCAAAATTTCCAAAAACCCAATTGCATTTTTTCGGAAGAAATTTTTTTGTAGTTACACCAAAGAAGTATAACTTCTAACGCGCGTAAACGCACCGTGTTTTTTTCTTAGCACAGTAAAGTTTTTAAAGCCTCAGCACTTCCGATAAGAAGTCATAAACCCCTACAAAAGTTGTTTCAATTTAAAAATTCTGAGCAACGCCACATAGACAGTCTGTGATTCAAAATTAGTCCCTATACTTATAACAAATTAATATTAGTAATCAACAATGATATGTACAGCTTTCCGAATGATTATTTTTTGTTTGGCAAAAATTTCCTCCCCAAAAGACTGTAGTACAAAATCCTAATATTTACCAAGCGATAATCATTGTCACGACGATAGGAACAAATTTTGTAAAATCGCCAGGAAAAGCAACAACGCAAATGTTGCCGTGTTCCGATTCGACAAAGATGTCGGCTCAGGCTGTATGATCTCCACTTCCGCCATCTTGAAAATCGACAGCAGCAGATGAGAAATAAAATCGCCATTCCGCGAGTTAATCCGGTCGCTTATGAGCTCTAAAAATTCCGCACACTCCTCCTGCAACATAAAATATTTAATATGCATTTAAAAAAAATCCACCGCTAACCTTCTCTTTAATCAAAATTTCCATCGGAGATAGTTTTGAATAATCAACTTCTTCTGCTAATTTGCCGGCCAGTATGACATTCTCCCTGGTCGCATTGAAAAACTCCAGAACACACAGAGTCTAAAAAATATATCAATACTTCAGTGCATACACATCAGCTTTTATAACGCTTTTTGGTTTACAAAGGGTGTCCCAACAAGAAATTTGAAACTTCAACAACTCAAGAAAGAAGTTGAACGTTATTTCCAAATATGGAAGATGAATATAAGAAATGATCTATAAAATGATATCAAAGATTTAAAACAATTTAAAAATATTCGTGCTTCTAAAAAATGTTTCTTGACGTGACGTACTTGAAACTTCAACATCTAAATGATCTATAAAATGATATCAAAGATAAAAGCACAATTAAAAAACTATTAGTGCTTCTAGAGGATGTTTCTTGAAATTTGTGAAGTACTTTAAACTTCAACATCTCAAGAAAGAAGTTGAACGTTATTTTCAAATATGGAAGATGGAAGATGAATATAAAAAAATTATCTATAAAATGATATCAAAGATTTAAAACAATTTAAAAATATTCGTGATTCTAAAGAATGTTTCTTGACGTGACGTACTTAAAACTTCAACAACTAAATGATCTATAAAATGATAAAAGCACAATTAAGTGCTTAGTGCTTCTAGAGGATGTTTCTTGAAATTTGTGAAGTACTTGAAACTTCAACATCTCAAGAAAGAAGTTGAACGTTATTTTCAAATATGGAAGATGAAGATGAAAAATGATTTATAAAATGATCTCAAAGATGAAAGCACAATTAAAATACTATTCATGATTATAGAGAATGTTTCTTGACATTTGTGACGTACTTAAAACTTCAAGTGGAACGTTATTTTCAAATATGGAAGATGAACAAAAAATGATCTATTAAATGATCTCAAAAATGAAAGCAGAATTAAAATACCATTCGTGCTTCTAGAGGATGTTTCTTGACTCAAGAATGAACGTCATTTTAAAAAATGGAAGATAAAGATGAAAAATGATTTATAAGATGATCTCAAAGATAAAAGCACAATTTAAAACTATTCTTGAGGATGTTTCTTGAAATTAGTAACGTATTTGGAACTATAACAACTCAAGAAAGAAGTTAAACATTATTTTCAAATATGGAAGATGAACATAAAAAATGATCTCAAAGATGAAAACACAATTAAAAACTATTCGTGTTTCTAGAGGATGTTTCTAGAAATTTGTGAAGTAGGTACTTGAAACTTCAACAACTCAAGACATTAGTTGAACTTTATTTTCAAATATGGAATATGAAGATAAAAAATTATTTATAAGATGATCTCAAAGATAAAAGCACAATTTAAAACTATTCTTGAGGATGTTTCTTGAGATTAATGACGTATTTGAAACTATAACAACTTAAGAAAGAAGTTGAACATTATTTTCAAATATGGAAGATGAACATAAAAAATGCTCTCAAAGATGAAAGCACAATTAAAAAACTATTCGTGCCTCTAGAGTCTCTTGAAATTTGTGAAGTACTTGAAACTTCAACAACTCAAGAAATTAGTTGAGCGTTATTTTCAAATATGGAAAATGAAGATAAAAAATGATTTATAAAATGATCTCAAAGATGAAAGCACAATTAAAATACTATTCATGCTTTTAGAGGATGTTTCTTGAAATTTGTGAAGTAGGTACTTGAAACTTCAACAACTCAAGACATTAGTTGAACTTTATTTTCAAATATGGAAGATGAAGATAAAAAATGATTTATAAAATGATCTCAAAGATGAAAGCACAATTAAAATACTATTCATGCTTATAGAGAATGTTTCTTGAAATTTGTGACGTACTTGAAACTTCAACAACTCAAGAAATAAGTTGAACGTTATTTTCAAATATGGAAGATAAAAATGATCTCAAAGATGAAAGCACAATTAAAAAACTATTCGTGCTTCTAGAGGATGTTTCTTGAAATTTGTGAAGTAGGTACTTGAAACTTCAACAACTCAAGAAATTAGTTGAACTTTTTTTCAAATATGAAAGATGAAGATAAAAAATGATTTATAAGATGATCTCAAAGATAAACGCACGATTTAAAACTATTCTTGAGGATGTTTCTTGAAATTAGTGACGTATTTGAAACTATAACAACTTAAGAAAGAAGTTAAACATTATTTTCAAATATGGAAGATGAACATAAAAAATGATCTCAAAGATAAAAGCACAATTAAAAAACTATTCGTGCTTCTAGAGGATGTTTCATGAAATTAGTGACGTACTTGAAACTTCAACAACTCAAGAAATAAGTTGGACGTTATTTTCAAATATTCGGGCATCAAGAGGACGTTTTTTTTTTAAATTTGTGACGTTACTTGAAAGATGGAAGATGAAGATGGAATATAGAAGTACATTTAAGATGTATCTTGAAATTTGTAACTTTACTACAAATTTTAAGGTCCAAAACATCTAAAACGAATAAAGATTTCTGTTGGGACACCAACATTGCGCGTCAAGTTCATGTCGAAATATTTACCCCATTTACAGCTTCCTCCTTAATAAAACTCTGCAAAACCCTTACAATGTCCTGTATAACAACGAGAGTGTGATTCTTGTTTAGCTCCCTTTCGTCCACTTCGCTGTATCCAAGGAAAAGGAATATTCCTTGTGGAAGGGTGTAGTCGCCAGGTAAGGGTTTCATGCAGATGAATCTTCCAGAATAGCAGAGACATCGTCCACGGAATGCTTGGTAGGCTGGTGCTGCGTGGTTATAGTAAGCGAACTCGGTTTTGCACGGCATTCTATCGATGCATATGGTCTTGCAGGTTAGTTTTTCTCCTAGTTCGCATTCACACACGTCCGAACACTCGAATTCGTCTTCATGGTAGATCTGGAAAACATTAACTTAAAGATTTTTGAGAGTATTGTGGTCGTTGATTTTACCCTTTTAAATGTCCCTTCTCTTATGTACTGATTGGGGAATTGTGGCCTTTGAACAACGCAAGATCCTAAAAGCAAATATGTTATATATATATACCGTACCTTCATTTTCAAGCTATACATAGGGAAAATACATTGTAGGTGGACCAGACAAGTCGAAGTCAGCGCAAAGCAAAAAACTTCTCAGAAATTATTAGGAGGTAATAAAATTTTAATCGCCAGTAAACAAGGTCACCTGTTACGTCGCATGTTAGTCTACTCATTCACTCGTCAAAATAATTTCTGGGAACATTTTCGTTTCGCGCCGACTTCGACTTGTCTGTTCCATCTACAATGTATTTTCCCTATGTATAGCTTGCAAATGAAGGTACGGTATTTATACTTACGTGGAGGTAATGTAGATGTGGTCGGAGCCGGAGTGGTAGTAGTAGTAGTAGTTGTTGTAGTGGTGGTGGTGGTTGTTGTTGTGGTGGTGGTAGTACTGGTTGTAGTTGGTTGTGGAGGGGGTATGAATTGGGCAATGGTGTTTTCCCTTGTGTGTAGCGAAGCTTCCGTGGCCGACAAGATGGTGATTTTTTGCACGGGTGTCGGTCTGGTTCGGATAATGGGTGCCGGAGTTGTTGGTGGTCTGTGTGTTGTGAAGTGGCTCTGTTCGAGAGCCTTTTTCATGTGGAAATTTTTCTGCGATTCGACTGGAATATACATAGATATCGATTGGAGTCGAATTCGTTATTTGCGAACTAATAGAAACAGGTGTTGGGTTTAAGAAAGTAATTTACTAGGTTATGCTTGAAAAATAAAAATTAAATTAAAAATGCGTTATCTCGGCGTAGTTTATAGGTTTAGTCTTACAAGAAATTCGGTTAAAACAATAATTACTTTTTTGTTTGTGTTTCGTGACAAATATGTAAAATTTAGAGCACGCCTGAAATAAAAGTTGTTAATAACACTGGCAAGTAATAAAACGTCGAGATTTTATCGAAATCATATTTTTGACATTTTTTCATTGTTGAAGTGGTGGTTTTAATCAAAATATTTTATTCCACTTCAATCGTAAAATTGACTATATGTTATGTATTTCAAACACATATTGTATTTGTAGCTCATAAAACTACGATCGATACAAAGTAAACATAAAAATATTTTTATTTTTGAAGTGAAACTTCTTTTCGGACAAGGTAAACCAAAACTTTACGTTACGAAAGGTGAAACGGAAACGGCCCTCGTATTAGAATATTTGAACGAAATTCGCACGGCAACGTAAATTTAAAAAAAAATTGTAGGTCAAATTTGCACAGGAGTGAATAAATATAAAAAATGATATTATATATTATATTTTCAAAACGCTGCGTCGTATTAAAAAATGCGCACAGTAGTTCAAAATTAAAATTTTTTTTAATGTTTTAGAAATTTTCTTAAATTTTAAAATTTCCTTGACTAAATGAACTTTTAAAAATACCTGCGTCGTATTACAATGTTAAAAAATACTGGGACAAATTCGCACAGTAAATTTTCAAAATTACCATTTTTTTTTTAAGTTTTCAAAATGCCTGCCTAGTATTAGAATATTAGAACAAAATTCACACAGTAGCATAAATTTAATAAATTGTGGGATAAATTCGCACAGTGGTTCAAAATTAAAAAAAGTAGGACAAATTTTCAAAATTACCAAATTTTCCAAAATTTTGAAATTTCGATAATTTGATGAATTTTAAAATTTTCAGTTTTCAAAAATCCTGCGGCATATTAGAATATAAAAACAAAATTCGCAAAGTAGTATTCACAAATTCGTACAATTAAAAAAAAGTAGGACAAATTTTCAAAGGAACTAAAATTTTTAAAATTTTTCCAAAATTTCCATTAATGAATTTTTAAAATTTACATACTTTTTAATATTTTTATAATCTTTAAAATGTTTAGTTTTCATAATGCCTGCGTGATATTAGAATATTAAAAGTTATTTAATTTTTAATTTTAAACAAAATTCACACAGTAGCATACATTAAAAAAATGTGTAAATTCTCAAATTATTTCAAAATAAAAAAATTGTAGGAAAATTCGCACGGGAGTGTATAAATAAAAAAAATAGTACAAAAATTTTCAAGATTTTTAAAATGCCTGCGTCGTATTAGAATATTCGAACAAAATTCGCACAGTAGCCCAAATTTAAAAAATGGTAGGACAAATTTGCACAGTAGTTCAACATAAAAAATAGTAAGAGTAAGTAAAAATTCTCTAAAATTACAAAATTTACAACATTTTATAAATTCTCAAAATTTTAAGCTTCATAGATCTAAAAAGCCCAAAAACTTTATTAACAGTTACAGTGGGGGAAATGACTAAGATTTGCATATTTCGTAATTAAACTAGTAAGTTTTGTTAAATTTTCTACGGTAAACGAAATCTCCTAGATTTTGTACAAGAATTCTTATAAACAAAACAAAAATTTAATTAAATTGTCTACAAGAACTTTCACTTCAGCCATGTGGTTTAGACCATATACTTTTTATCTAGGTATTGTTATTTTTCGTTATTATTGAATTCGTAAATAAAACATTCGCAAGACGGATATTTTTTTATTTGAGTTGGATAAGAAGATTAAGTTAAATAATAAATACATAGGTCGATAATAGTAAATGAAAAGGGGTCGAAAATTGATTGTTCAGTTTAATTTGACTCACCGACACATGGGTTTACCCATAAAAGTCTCTGCCATCCGAGACACTCGTACAGTTGGGTCATATCGGTACCTTTGCATGCACATGTCGTTCTTAAATCTGTGCCTAATATCCCTAAAATAGCTGCTCTACATTCAGAGGGCGAACCGGCGCATTTTTTCGTTACACTGTCCACCGCACACGTCTGCTCATAATATTCCAATCTTGTTCTGCAACACAAAAACACACAATTTTCATGATGGATGGGAGGTATTTGTCTTTCTGAAGGGCCGTATACGTACCGCATAAACATGTAGCGAGAAAAATAAATAACTAATACGCACCTACAATCCTTGTTTTCTCTGCAAACTTCTGCCAAGTACAGGCAAGTGGGTTGTGGAGATCCTTCAATCCTTTGAGCGCACACCGGGTGCAATTTTTCCTGCGCCACTAAACAAGCATCCTGCTTGTTGTCTGTCTTCCTGCAAAGCAATTTTTTATCGCTTAATATGGCACCCCATTCGGAGAATTATAAATTTCATTAAAACGGACGTATTGGCATTAATAATTTTTCTCGGCTTATTGCGGTGGGGTGGAATAATGAAAGGTGCGGACAATACGTACTTGCAAAGACAAAAGGCGATCTCGACGTTCCAAGGGAAGTCTGGTTTGCCGTAAAAAGTTTGAAGTGCCTCCATACAAGAGTTTCTATTGCAACGTGAAATATCGCAGTGATGTAAAATGGGGGCCAGCAACATTCTACAATGGTAGTTGTTATTGCAGCTTTCCATCGCCACGTGGCATGTGCTTTGAAACACTATTTTACCCACTTCGTTCGACTCAGATTGATCTGTCGAACCTGCAACAGAGGAAAAGGAAAATGCTCACTTACTGTTTATTTAAATTAAACTGTTTGAAGCAATGTATGCTGAACATTTTTCCGTAAATGTGTTCGGTTGACATATTTCAATTATTACTTAGTTTCCCTGAAAAATATGTATGCTACGCAAAAAGCTTTGAAACCTTTTCTGTACAACGTGATTCACAAGTCCTCCTCTAATACATTTCTAAAGCGTATTCTATCATCAAAAAAATAAAAAAAATTAAATAAACATGTATCCTCGCTTCTTTTCACACATTTATTATGGATGGCTTTTAATTTTGTTGAGATTTTTAGTATTGGGTAAATTTTTTTACACTTTTGTCATCCTTTACACGCCAAAATAAGAAATTTTTTTTGCATTAGTGCCATCTTTTTTTAATAAAAAAAATTATGAAATTTTTTTAAGTAAAGGGTCACCACTGGTTGTTCCTGACCTATGACAACTGACGCAAAATCTACATTTATTAAAAATTTACATTTATGTTATCATTAATTTTTTTTTGTTTTGCATACTCGGCTATTCTATTGAGATCATTTTCTATGGAAAGTAAAGTGTAAAGTTTTATATCAAATTTGTAATACAAATTTGTAGTAGAAATGAGCTGACGAACCAATTTTAATGTTAAATGTTTACTTTCAAAATTATGATTTAATTTTAAATTTAATATGTTTTATAACACACGATACTAATAAATTACCCTGTAGTAAAAATATTTGGAAAAATAAATTTCATTCCTACTTACCATTTTTTTAAATATTAAACACGCAATGTTGAGTTTTGGTGCGCTCGACTTCATATTTGAATAAAATTAATTCACTACGTAACATAATTTGCCTAGAGCTCACTACCAACTAAATTTGCTTTAATCTAATTTCTCTATACGTAAGAAATAACCAGATAAAGAAGTCTGCTGCGGTCCCATGGGCAAAACGATTAAAAACCAGTTTGTCAACTACAATTATAGTAAAAACGTAAGAAGTATAAAAATATAATATTAACAAAAAAACTGTAATCGATAATATGTGAAAGGGGAAAGTTAAAAAAGTATATAACCTACGTAAGAAAAACTGATGGGTTTCCTGGCCCGGCACTGTAAAGTGAACAGAAGGATTATATGTAGCATCTTGTCCGTAAAATAATCCTTGAAGGCAGCTTTGTGTTATTTTTTTTCTCGAGCATATTCGAATCTTTCGTTTGTGACTTTCTTGGTGATACATTGTGACGCTTTTAAGCGACAGAAAGTTCTTTAAAACTTCCAGCTGTGTGCATTCCCGCCATCCTTAACAATTCTAACATCTAAAATTTATTTCCATAGTTAAAGAAGTTACACTCAGCCAAGTTATCATAAATACAACTTTTAGGGGAACTTGAAAAAAGTTGGAATATCATTACCCTTTGATTTTGTTTATTTTTTTTTGTTGCTTATGATTAAAATTCCCTTGTTTTTTTACGAGCTACATAAACAAAGGAACCAATTAAAAAAGAAAACGTCGAATTTTTTTATTGCAATTGAAAATTCTAAGCAGCCCTAATGAATAAATACTTGTATTTAGTGCCAATAAAATCGGGCGAAAGGAATTATAATTAAGTTAAGAAAGTAATTTTAATTAACTGATGAAATTAAAAAATAAATTTGACGGCGTTTTACTAATTAGCCCCATCGAGCTTTAATTCAATTTTTGGTTAATTATGCCTAAGTCATCAAAATATTGATTAACTAGAATTTAATTAAAAACTCAACTATGCACCTCTAACTTTGTCCTGCGACGATTTAAGGGATATCAATTATTATTAACCATTTCAATGCATCGCAGGAAATAAAGGAGATAAAATTTATTTCGTTTTCATTTTAGAAGCAATAAATTTCGTTCTTTTAAAACACGCAAACTTTTATCGAAAGATATTGTAAAGAATCCTGATTGAAATTTAATTTATTTCATCCCAAATAATTAAGGAGCTACATAAAAGATTTCAGTTTCGAATTCACTTCTATTTACTTTGCCGTAGACGAGTCGTATATTTTTCCACGGAGATGACAGAGCCAAATGTATATAAATATTTAAAGTGTGCAAGGTCATTGTACACAGCTTTGCGACTATTTTTACAACACACGTAAAAATTCTTTCCAATTTGATGTTTTATACAAAATTTTCTTTATTCGTACGGGTTGTTTTCAGGAACGTATTTTAAAAAACTCAACCTGTATCACGATGTTCATTTAATTTCACCCTGTATTTATATCCATAAAATATATATTTTATGTTGTATTATGAAATGTAAAAAACAAGAAAAAGACCTCCATGCAAATTTTTTTTACTACGTGCTAGGACGAGTGCGGTGTGCCCGAATTCTATTATAATTCAAGAATCTTTATCAAAACTAATGGTTCGTATTATTATTGAAATCACATGCACTCACAAAATATTTAAATGATTGAACTAGAATAATGAAATAAAACTACGCTGTCGTTGGTCGATTTTTTTTTTTATTTTAATGTCTGGTCAAGAGGGATTTGCTTATGATTTATTTGTTAAAAAAAAACAATGTAGAAATGAAAACCAGACAGAAAAATAAGGAAGTTTACCTGGAGACAGAAGCGGCCCAATAGTAAAGGCCTTAAGGACTAAAGTCCGTCCTAAATATTATTTGAATATAGAAACAATTAGGAAAAAATACACAAAAACTACCAATAAACAACTAGATTGAATTAAAGTTTTAAAAACAAGTATTAAAAATGATGGGAATTTCTGAAATCAGCGCAAGGAAAAGTTCATTGTTTTAAACCGAAAAACTGTTTTTAAATAAAAAAATCAGCAGCCACTGTCGACAGTAGTACTGATAAAAACCACACTTACACAACTGCCCGACTCTACTTACCTCTTACATGTTAGGTAGGTCATAGATAAACTAAGAATTAAGTTAATATGATTAATGCAAAAGTGATAGAACCTGTAAACAGTCCCTTTTGCGTTTCTTAATTGGTTATTAATTAAATAAAGTTCATACCCGCAGTTCTCCTACTTTATTGTGCTTTATTTATTTAATAACTTATCAAGGAAGTGTCTGATGGAAAATCGCCAAAGGACTTTTCGTCTTAGAAAATCATTCTCTATTTACCCCTTTGGGATTATATTTTTTTAATCAATTTAAATTTCTGCCAATAATTAATAATTTGGACAAGTGTTGACAACTTTTCCTGGTGATTTCACGAAATTAAACCCAACTCTCAGATATTGAACATAAATTTGGCCAAAATAAAATTCCGGTGCCGCCACTGCTTGAATAGAATAAAAGTTGTAAAAATCTTTTATCCTATAAACATTAAGAAAGAAGAGTAAAGAAGAAACAATCTGTTGTATTTGTTTTTGTGGTTGTTTAGTTCTAGAACTCTTCGTTTCGATACCTACTTGGATATTTTTGATGGCTGTTGATGGGTTGTTGGTCCTCCTCCGGATACGTATAGGAGTTGATGGTATTGCTCAGATGAGATTTGTCCTTGTTTCTGAGCACAGTGACGCTGATATGGTCAAAGCCGGCATGTGCCTCTTGCCCGTTCACCGCGTCAACAAGCGGATTTTCGACAATAGCATTGCCTAGCCCATAATCAAGCGAGGTAGACGTATTGTCAAAAGCTGAAATCACTTTTACTCAAATCCTTGCCAAGACCGTCAATGTCATCGACTATTTCTAACATTGTCAAGGAATTGTATAACGTATACTCTCTCATCAAAATCATTTTATAAAAAAATCCAATCGTAATTTATTAACTACAGGCCCCGCGGTGTAAGTTGGCGAGGCTCGACGCATGTGGGCGTAGCCCTTGATACTTGTGTACGGCGTCGAAGATTAAGATTACATTTTGAACAAATGTTTTTAACAATTCTCGCCAAGTTTCACGGCGGGCGCTGTAAGAGTTGATATTCGTGTTCGAATTGAAAAGAAATGGGTCATAAGTAAGTTTATGTAAGGGAGCTAATTTCCATTGTTTTAGGTCGTAGACGGGGAATCAAAAAGTCGGTTCTCTTGCAGGAATTAAGTTATTTTAGAATTTGTCTGAAAAGTTTTGAATGTAGTTAGGTAGGCTTAGCTGGCTTTCAGAGTGAATTAAAGTGTCATTTTGATGAGATAGTATATGTTGTAGAGAAAGCGCTCTCACCGACATAGTCCGTCGCAAGGTCGCCGTCAATCTCCGAAGACTGAACGGAGGAGGATGTGTAGAGCGATTCTTCTACCAAGTGCGTTTTATAAGTGCCGATGATGATGCTTGCGACTGTGCCAAAACTGGTGCCGTGTGTTAAAATATCTGTGCCAATAACATGCGAGACATAGCAGTGCGTGAGTGACGCACAAACGGACAATGCCTCATTGAGAACGGGGCATTGTTGTTTGTGCTATATACAAGGTGTTTCGGTTGGTTGAATGGCAGAAGGCACAAACGTTAAATTTGATGAAAGGATTTACGATTTTGATTTTCGGTATTGGTCCGAGCCGACGGAAGGAATAACAAGGAAAGAAAATATATAACATGTCTAAAACATAAAATATATTACAAGTCCCCAGCGTGTCGTTTTTAACGCGTCGCTACAGATTCCAGGAATATTTCCCGAATTGAACATGCAAATAGATTGAAGTCGGACTCTTTTTAAATTTGATTTAATATAGAATATCTAACAATATCTATTTAATAATTATAGCATGTCTAATACGTGTTTTCGTGTTAAAGGAAATATTCGAATTTAGAGTGCAAATAAATTGAATAATTTCAAATTCAAGTTTTAGGTGACGTTTGATTTTAAATTCCAAGTTACTTTATTATAATATATAAATTGAAAAATCCTATTCAATTCATCTTCACATAATTTAGAGTTTATGAAAAACACTTTGTACTGAGAAAAACAGGATGGTAAAAATTACTGTTAAAAATCTAAGTACGGGTATGTATGGATATCTTTTTTATTTAAAATGGCATTTTAATTTCAGAGGTTCTCAAATAATTTGATAAAAATTTAAAACCTATCAAAACGAAAAATCTTTATAACTTCGTTATTCCTGGGAATTCAGAAAAAAGTAAGTTTTACAAGTAAACATTTAGGTCTATTTTTCTAAATTTTCTTAACAAAATGCCACTTCCGGTTTAACCAGAACATCAACTTTGTTATTTTAAATAGAACACTCCATATATTTTGAAATTCTACATAAAATTCTGAGTAAAATTACTATATCATAGAAAAATAGATTTCAATAAACGCTTTTAAAATTTCAAATCGATTACTTTTTCCGTTCCCCAGAAACTTCTAATGGACCACGAATGTGAAACACCCTGTATAGTAAAGAAGAAATTTGATAAAAATTTAGGAAGGAAGTTGTGACGATTTTTGGTTTTGAAAGTTTTCTTGTTATTTTTTTCAAATAATATGAGAACCACCAATTTATAATTTTTTTTAATGTGCTTGTAATTTTTTCCAATTTATCCGTAGTCCTCTGATGATATTTTTGAACATTGAGAAAAAATTAAGCACATGCAAATATTTTTTTTTGCATGATTTCGTAGAACTGCGAAGAAAAGAAAAAAAATTAAATTTGCAGAAATAGAGCGAATTCGTTCTTCATAGGACGCAAGTAATTTTTACCATTCTTTTTTTCTCAGTGTGGATATAAAAAATATTTATTTCTAATTACTTAAGCAGGCAATACGGAATTATTAATTTCTTGCTAAAGTGGACTATTTTAAAATTGATTAATCTGAAACAAGCAAATAAATATTGCTAGATATTTGTTCGGATCGTCATGCAAAATTTTGACATGCGGATAAAACATTATCATAAAATAAATCCCAAATAAAAGTGGTTCCGGACGAGACCTTTTTCTAGGATGCGAAGAACGTGTGTTAACTTGTTTTGATATCAGGGAAAAAAGAACAGGTAAAAACGCATTTGTATTTGCCGATTTCGCCTCAATAAAAAACCAACATTTTTTTTTATTATTAATCTCATGCATTCCTGATTTTGATTCTGACATTTATGGGTACATCATTTGAAACTTACCGACGCACGGGTTGTGGTTCACCATCGTGAAAATACGGTCGCATCGTTTTTTCATGTGATTGTTCGGGCATATGCATCCGAACATCGGCGACTTTCGCAGATTCGTCCACGATTCATGGCAAATGTCCCTGCGAAATAAAAACCAAACGAAGAAATGACGAAACACTTAAACTCATTACGACGCAGAAGGACCTACCTGTCCTCCATCCGGCATTTATTATCTCTGACTTTGCAGTTAGATTTAAAGTCTTCGTATAGCTTTATGCATTTTCTTTCTTGCTGGCAAACGGACAAAGCGTGATTGCAAGTCGGTAACGCGTCCACAGGATAAGGGTCCTTCTCTGTAATTTACAGCAAAAACTTCTAATTAGATAAATAAACCAAAAAACCCATTTAGCTGATGCCCCGACTAATTCCCCTTTAAACGCAACTACTTTTAATTTATGCCAATGGAAATTCTTTGTTCGGAATTTTATATGTTTCACTTTGAAAGCTTCAACAATGTCTTCACATTCCCGATTAGCACAATTACACCGCAATGCTAAATTTTACGCTTTTTTATTTTGCCCTTTCAACGAAATGCTGATTTTAAAACAAATCCTTATTAAAAATGCAACCTAAAAGCAAGGAGACTAAATAAAAGAGAAGTGTCTAAAGTAGGCTATTCAGGAAGTTTTCAATCGCCCAAAATATAAATTTTTATGTGCAGTTTTCAATCACGAGGTTTTAAATAAATTTAATAATTTTTAGTTTAAAAATAAAGGACATGTTCACAACCATCTACGTCTTCTTCTGAAAATTTTGAAATAGAAGTGAAATGACGCTCTACCTATAACGATATTCAGCTTTTAGGTATTCTGAAAAGTTATCCACAACAAGAAGACTTTTAAGAAGCATCAGTGGTTTTTTTCAGCAAAACCAGTGGTACTTATCGAGTGTTGAAATTTCAGAAAAAATCTATAGTGTTAACGAGAATGGGAAAATATGATGATTTTGAACGATTGTACGAAAAATTATAAAAAGTTGTCAATAATACTGGCAAACGGGGAAAAAATTTGAAAGAACTAGTGAACGTTTTTTAGTAGAAAAAGCATTTAAATCTTGCTTTTTTTAATTGAATAAAACTAAGACATAAGAGATTCTACTTCCACAAATTTTCAAAAATGGCGAATGCGCCGGGATAAATTTTTAATTAATTTCCATAGTTCATGTAAAATTTGCCGTTGGATAATTTTTAGGTGAATGAATTATGTGTTATTAGAGTTCTTTGTTTCGGGTGGTCTGGAAAGGAACATGTGCTTTATGGTCTCTGGAGACTATTACGTAGTCTGGTTTAATAAAATATTGAATATATAATTTAAAAATTTGTCTGGATGGTTGTGCAGTTACAGCCACAATCATAATATAGAACATAAACGTAAGTCATAAAATAATGTACCTAGGTATACAACAATAAAATCCTTAGGTGTTTCTAATTCAGGGCAGTAGCAAAGCACTGCTTGCTATAGGTCATAATTTATGGGTAAAAATATTGCACTAAGTTTATAATATTATCAGAATGTTAGGTAGTTGAATGAGTTATTAGTGAAATTTAAATTTTTAGGTAATAGAAGCATTAAAACGTTAAAAACCCAATTATAATCTCCAAGGGATTTATTTAACATAATCCACTCATTAGGTAAAAGGAAAAAAAATTATCCGGTTAAAGGTTCCAGTTTTATATTCCATGGCTAAAAAGAATTAAATTTTTTAAATGAACAAAAGACTGAGCGCTTAATATTTTAAGTTGCTTTAGTGCTAGATATTACACAAAGAATTATTATGAAAATTATTAATTAACCCAATGTTTTTTACCCCTTTTTACGCTTGATTTATCCCAGTATTTAATTTATTTTCACAATAATTGCAATAGGCAAATAAAAAATAATTTTAACAATAGTTTTTCATTATTAAACATTTTTATTTACTCTACATCGACGAGCTGTGACTATGGCGTTTTAGTCGCGGGCTGAAGGTAACAACAAAGAATTTTGGGCATTTTAGTCACGGGCTAAACTTAGCTTTATTATAAATTGCGAAAAAGTGAGGTTAAATTCATCAGATGTCGAATATTTATAAATTAAAATTGTGTTTTAATTTTTATTTCTGTTCGACGTAGATTAAGTATAGTTTGCAACTCGTTTTATAAAGTTCTCTAGACACTCGTTTTTATTAAACACTCGCTCGCAAGCTGAACAAATCTGAATGTAGAAAATTAGTGTGAAACCACTTCAATCATACAGGGTGTCAAAAAAAATGAAACAACAAAAGTAGTTCAGTTTTATTCAACGATGGTTTAAAATTCTTTATATGGGGTCATTAAACAAAATACGCAGTTTCGTTTTCGCTGAGCCACGCTGTATAAGACGGAAACAGATGTTAGATTCATTCGTAATTCTTGACACATCTGTTATAATATCAAGCGTTTTGAATCTTGTATTAAAAAAAAATAAAAATGCTTAGCGCGTGTTTTTCTGCAAGGGGTAATTATTGCATTTATATTTTAAGGGCGTAATGGTCCAATAAAAAATATATGAGCTTACAAATCTTAGTTACCGAGGATATAAAAAAACGAGGAAACAACACAAAAACTAATTAATTTTTATGAAAGTAAATGGTAATATAAAAGCATTGTGACAAAGTATGGCACATAAAAATAAATGATTTACTTTTCGCACGCTTACGTATTTTACAACAATGTAGACCTGTAAAGAATGAGTTTTATTTACCCATAATCGAAGTGAGGTTTACGAAAAGGTAATGAATATTAATCTAGCCGAAAAACTATTCAATCTAAATCGATCGGGCGTTTTTGAAAAGCGAAGAATTTCCAGCAATTATTTAAGAGTTCCTGAAGTGCTTTGAATTATTTAGTGCTCCTCACAAATTACAAGTATCTATTAGCAATTAGGAATGCTTTATGATTATTTTAAGCTGTAAGAGTGTTTTAGTAATCGACTTACCTTTTTTGGTGACAAAGACGCAGGGATGGTCAAAGAGGAAGTCCCTGAAGGAGTTGCACTCTGGGTCCACGTGCGGCTCCCTGCATAAGCACGTTGGTTTGAAAAACGGGAACGCTTGCAGAGTGCGCAATGCAGCCTGGCATTTGGTTACTGTGACTGTTGAACATGCAACTGAAAAAAGAAAAAAAAATCGACTTGAGAGTGAGAAGTAAATTGAAGTCGATACGAGATGTTAAATCACTTAGTTTTGTAAGTTGTTTTCTGCCTTGTCAATTTATTTATTGAGATTCGTATCGCATTGAAGGGCGGAAAGTGAGAATTATAAAGAACGAAGTGTAAAATGTTCAAAATTCATTAGGGTGTACTTTAACTTCACTGCAGTCCAGAGCAAAACAATGCAAATAAAATGACTGTGATAAACGCCGTGTAAATATTTATTCTGCCAGGCGTCCTATAAAATTATTTAATTGATATTTAAATTGTTTGTAGCAGACTTTGTTTTAGTCAAATGCGCCTTCTTTCATTCCATTTTTATATTTTAGGCCTTAACTTTACCAAAAGCAAAAAGTGTATTTTTACTTTATAGTTTTCTACAGGAAATTGGGTCATAAATACAACTCATATTCCCACAACAAGATCATAAACTTAACTGAGTATCCTTCAAGATTTTTATTCCACAGCCCTTAATAAATGAATGGTTTTCAGAAAAAAAAGGAAGCAACTAGCTTTCAACTTTTTTATTAACTAATTTATGAGAAGGTAGAGGGAAAATGCCTACGAAATTTTAACGTATACTTATATATTAAGATTTGTTTAATAATTAGTCAATTTCTAATACATTAAGTTAGATTTGCAAGTTTCAGCATAAAAAAGGTGTGATATAAATAAAACAAAATTATATACAAAAAATATTTTATTTTTGGTTGTTTCACTGTTAGTCTAGAATGGGGAATTGGGAAGCCACCAGCTCTAGTAATAAAATAACATAAGTGGTTCTGCACTAATGCAAGAATTTTAAGAAATCATAAATTTTGAATATTAGAGCTTCACGGAAGAAAGCTTCACAGAGGTTAGGATTTCGTATGTTTTTTTTAACATCCCTTTGTATATTTGAAATAAGTTATTGTATCTTTTGATACCTTAATATTTTTTAAAAATACAATTATACATACATAAAATATTTACTGAGATATTACACTTCACGGTGGATAGGTTTTTAAATAGCAAATAAATAAACTTAAACTTTTGAATTATAAAACAGCAACACTCTCATCTGCATATAAATTCTAACTGACACACATGCATCTATAATGTCGTAAACAGAGGTTTTTGCTTATTTAATTAAAATGATTAAAGCGCCATCCGTTGCATAAAATTTAAAGCAAAAACACATTCACGGAGGATAGAATCAATTTTTGTAACACCTACATAAATGGTTATAAAAATTATTTCTTTTAATTTTTAATAATGTTTTATATTTAATTCGATTGCTTTGGATGTGTTTAATTTACTTAGTGAAGTGATATTTTTAGTATGCTTTTACTACCCTAAGAATTTTAAGAAATCATACATTTTGAATATTAGAGCTTCACGGAAGATAACTTCACGGAGGTTAGGATTTCGTATGTTTTTTTTTAAACATTCCTTTGTATATTTGCAACGTGTTTTGTAATATTTCGTGTGTGTAAAAATCCGCCCTTTGTTTATCTCAATGAGTGAATTAATTAATGTATGAAAATTAATAATTTAACAGCTGAATCCTGGTGAAGTTTAATATTTCACCCCCTCCTGCTAGAGCTGTGTATGTGTTTATTAATCTTAAGATTTTATAGGTCATTGTCTTGTGGATGGCGGAAGGTTTACATGAAAATTCAATTTGTCTTAATAATAACTCACAAGAGCGAAATAGAGTAAAAAATAAGTAAATTTACCGTTGAATACTTTCTGTGTTTAAAGTTTTCCTCCAAGTTGTATCATCCAGGATTTGAGCAATATTTCTTTATTTATAACATACAGCAACGAAAAGTGCTTTTAAATTTTATTAAGCCCGACTTTAAACTTTGCCAGTATGAGTATAATGCTTTTGTCCCATTCTTAGTACATATAAAGCGACCGGTTCATTCAATATGTAGATGCACCTTTGGAATTGTCATTGGAAACATATTTATGTTTTACACGAAGTAAAGCGTTAACAATTCATCGAACATAAATAAAACTTATCAGCTGTGAATTGGAAAAAGTTTCGTTGTAATCGATATATTTTTCGATGGGTCCGCGCGGAACAAAAGCAATTAAAAGGGTATTGTCGAACGTTGGAATTAATCTTACTTTAAACAATTTGCAGTAACGAGCAGTTGATTATTCTGGATTTTCGTTAAGAATAGTTTGACATATCGCACTTACTCCTATATATATATGGCCATTGCCATAAATCTTATTGCAATTAAAGTAAAAGAGATAAAATGGTGCGAAGGAAGAAGAAGTAAAGGTGGAGAACGTCGACGGATCGGTCCGTCCGATCCGTTGCTTGACTGGAGTGGATAAGTGTTGGTGGGAAGTTTGAAAGTTGACATTTTTGCGACAGTAGTTAAAGACCTGGGGTAGAACATCGCAGACCAGAACAGACCAGAGCAAAACGAGTAACGAACGGTTTTGTAAATTATTCAAGGTGCTGTATTGATCCAAAGGCTCCTTTTCTCTCCTTTTAGCCGTATATGTATTTTAGTTCACGTATATGATCCCTTCTTAGGATGAATATGGATTTCGTACGATTTCTTCATCGCCGACGCGTCGTCGAAGTCGATTCTCTTACCCTCCGTCGTTTCAACATTCTTCAACGCTACTGACCTGCGTTAAGTTCCTTGACACCTTTCACATCTTATGTCACGAAATATAGTGACGATCGCACAATCCCAATAAGACATTTTTAATGCCAATTTTGTCCCCTCGGAAACTGGTCACGTAGTATCTACGTCACACACTTTTTGGGGATTTTAGAACCCCTCATCCAACCCTGTCACAAAGTCCCTTTCCATTTTCATTAGTAAAACAAAAATAGTAAAAATCAACTTATATTATTGAAAGACTCGTCAAAATCGATTTAACCAGACAGCTGTTTCGACCTATATTGGGTCTCATCAGTGTCGGGCAACTTGGTGTAGTGGAACTCACCCAAAACAAAAGACTACCAGAGCTTATATACTGCCCACGTAGGTCAACCGAAGCGAGATATAAGAACATCTGCCTTTGCCGCAATCGGTACATACTATGCAACCAAGAATGCACGGAAAATTGTATCACAGATACTAGAATTAGCCTACCGGGTTAAACAGTAAGATAAACATTATATTTTTTTAGTTTCTTCTTGAAGAAACTAAGAAAATTTAATGTTTAATTTTATTTGTTAAAAATGTCACATCTGTCAACTGTCACCCGAATTTAACACTGCTGGTAACTTCAGACCGTAACCAAAACGCCATAAAGTTACAGCTCGTCAGTGCAGGAGTAGATAAATAATATTACAGATAGTAACCAACAAATTATAAAAGAAGACAACTTTTTTATAATTACATCAATATAATTCTTTGAATTTATTATTGCAATTAATCAGGGCGGTGGCTTGAAGCAATTTAAAACTAAAATCATTTCTCTTAAAAAAGTTAATATAACTGACGCAGAGAAAAGATAAAGCAAGGAACAGGAAAATCCTTTTTTGAACTGGTAAGAATATTATCTGGACATATTGTCGTTTGTGTGAAAAATGTCGAACCAGCAAAGTTTCTTTGGAAGTTTCCAAAGGTCAAGCGGCGAACAGCCACCGTCTAACAGCCCTTGTTTACATTTATTTGGATATAAGCGTACTATCTTTATTGATGTCAAAATTCCCTACGGATTTGTTTTTCAACATAATATTTGTTTATTTTACTATCCAATTTAAAGTATAAAGAATTTTCTACCATTTCTAGAATAATCCCATTATCGTACATGTTTCCATACACATTGACAAGTTGTAGCTTTATAGCGTCAAATGTCATATAATCGTTAAAATAAAGTGCCTTTCTTTATTATTTTTATCATACTGCTTAGCCCGGCTAATTCTAGTATCTAGGATACAATTTGCCGTGCATTCTTGGTTGCATATTATGTACCGATGGCGTCTTCAATGTGGATCACGTGATATTCTTACATCTCGCCTCGGTTGACTAACGTGGGCAGTATATAAGCTCAGGTAGACTTTTGTTTTGGGTGAGTTCCACTACACCAAGTTGCCCGACACTGATGAGACCCACAATAGGTCGGTATTTGAATTTGGTGGAACGCACTTAAAAGATTCAACAAATAAAATTGGCTTTAAATTCTGTATATTATGCAACTCGTTTATAAAATTTTCTAGGCACTCATTTAATTAAGCACTAAAAGCTAATAATTTTCAATTTATCGCCATAAATAAAACCTGACATTATGACTAATTTCATTAACAATTTGATGGTGTGGGGTAATTGAGCATTGATTGATTCGTCTCTTTCAGATGAGTGCAAAACGGTGTGAATACTTCTGGGCCATAAACCAATGTATGACACTCGGCATTCGGATTATTTGTATTCATTAATCCCAATTAAAACGGCTTGCATTAATAAAAGTAAGGCGCTTGGAAAGGATTCGCACAGCTAGGTAGGCGAAATGAATTATAGAAGAAAATGTCCGGATGATGCAAATGAAAATTTCGATGGGCAGGACAATAAAATATTTAAGGAATAACGAGCCCGGGCCCTTAGCCATTATGTTTCCCTAATCATTCGTTAAATATGCATGTGTAAAAAATGTTTTTGAAACGCAATTCACTCCACCCAAGGGAGGTGAGGGAAAGCGAGTCAGCTATTCGTGCCGTGGCGTGCTTAAGCAGTTGATCTGTTCCTCTGCAATTGATGAAATTGTAAAAAGCTAGTTGGGAGAAACAATAAAACAAAGAGTAGGGCGACGACGAAATCTAAAATCTGGGCGATAAAAAATATCGTGTTATATCAGAATTGCCGGCACCCCAAACCTGAGCCAGTACATAAGATCATTTCTCACAAGTGATTTGTTACGAGGCGCTTAAGAACCATTCCGTTAGCTTATCCCCAGATTGTTACAATCTCTGACTTCCTCTCGCAGCGCAAAGTTATATTTTT